AATATTCATTTTGTCTATTGAGGGTGGCACTTTGAAATTTAAGTACGATTGCTTTGAATTACATCAACATCGCGGCACATTTGCATCAGAGAAATTATCTCTACATACTCTCCGGAGTTACCTTCACCACAAGCTGGTTTGGACTCCGTAGATCGTCCCTTGCGAATATTTGTTGGTCATTGACTGAGTCAATGACCAACAATTTGGGTGGTTTGCTGATGATCAGTCAATTTGACTGATTATCAGCGACCACCCAAAAGAGATTGCGTTCAGGGATTTCACGACCGATACGTTCCAAAAGTCATGCGAAGTTGCTCCTAGACATAAATGGTTTTGACAAGCCATGAATAGGATTCGATAATTTTCAGGTAACCGGAAACTGAGCTACGCATTTAAGAAAAGCACATTTCTTGTTATGATCTGCAGGAGCAGCCCATCGTCCAGTTGAAAACTTTCTCCACAACGAGGTCTCAGTCGCATGAAGGTGTAGATCCTCTGTGTTTGAACACTAACCCTCATGTAACCTGTATAATTGAGCCTATATTAATTATATATATCACTAGTTGATTCACTGCCATAATGATAACGGATCCTTGCAGAAGGATGAATATATATACATTAATAGTTCTACCCCTTGCTTCCGTAACGGAACTCGCACAAAGTAATGACAACAGCACTTAACATGCGCTCGCAAAACTGGAAAACCGGATGTACTTAATAAAATACGACAATGCAATTCGGAGGCCAACCAAGGTTAGAGTACAGTAAACCACTCAAGTGGACAGAGTAAGTCTCTGGGGTGAGAAATCACTCCATCTGATCATGGTTTTAATATTCACATATGCTGCATATCACCCTCATCATCTATTTATTCACACCGTCGTCAAGTACGAAGAGTTGGATTCCTTTTAGTCATATCATCACTCTAATGTGATGATCTGCCTAATGAAAGTGAATAATAATGAAATTGCTGGTTTAACATAATTGTTGGAATTAGGCTGCGTAATCCATTGTCAGTTAATGAAGTGGTTGATGTTATTTGGCCTCTTGCAATTTACAATGATATTGGAAGCATTAGAGGGCTCATTATGAGCGGGTGTTAATCCAGTTTATGAATTTGACCATTATCAAGCAGCACCATTCTTTCTTCTAGCGACGTATTTATCCACACCAGTTAGAGTCGTCACAGCAGCATGGTGTGAGACAACATCGTTGGATATTCAATTTGTGTGTGTGGATGTTTATACAGCTTGGATAGTGTTGCATAGTGTTGCAGACGGATCTTCAATAAGTTGCTGAACAACAAGGTCGAGACCGAAACGCAGGAAAGTGATATTTCCACTCTTCAACGTTTCAGTTTCGACCTTGGGAAATATTACAAAGATGAAACGTCGAAGACTCGAATTGCCAAAATGCCAAAGAAGAAAAAGTACAGAGTGCCAAAACTGCAAAATAATGTATTCCGTCCAAATGCCGAAGACTAAAGACAGCCAATGAGCGAAATTTGATGGAGATCAAAGCCTGCCAAACCTGTCAAAGTGCTGAAGAATAGATTCTACCGAAGAACCAAAACATACAAATTGACGATGACCAATTAATGTTCATGGTTTATAAAGCAAAGAGTTCTAACAAAATTTGCACTATTAGCGAATCAACATGCTTGTGGAATGACAGAAACACGGTCCGGAAAAAGATTCATCTTGAAGAATGTGAACAAAATGTGAACACAAAAGAAAAATGAGGGAAAATGAAATCATTAGTTTGGATGACATTTGCAAATCACAAATAAAAAATGCAACAAAATGAGTTATACATGAGTTCAAATATCAAGAAATTGAGTATTTGAACATGTCTGTGATATTTCAAGATGAGATAATTCAATTAAAACCTACAGAGATATTTGTAACGATAATGAAATTATTATGAAGTTTTTTTAAGATCAAAATTCAATGATAAAAAAGGTTTTGATTGATTTATAACAATTTCAACTTGGTTGGTAATTATTGAAAACAAAATGATAGCTAAATTTGATGCACTAAAAATGCGTTGTAAGATGGCATTGATATAAATCATTTTTGAATAAAAATAATTTTGTAGAGTTTTGATTTCAAGACATCTATGTGCAAAGTTTGAGATTCATATTACTGATTTTTAAAAAATTATGAATTTTTGAAATTTATCATAATGATACTTCAAACTTGTGAAGATTTCCTTTTAAAGATTAAAATAACTATAATTTTCAATCTTATGTAAAAACTATCTAAATATAGCTAAAATTATGATTAAAATACTAATTGTCATCAAATTTTAAAAGTGAAATTGAAGCAATTTTAAAAAATTGAAAATTACTTTGATAAAAAAAGTAAATGAAAGTAAATCATTCACTCAAAAAAATCTTATTTTAGGTTTAAACACATTCAATTTTTAAAACGTAGTTTTTATAAAAAATTAATTATTAACATGAATATTTTTTTTCATGAATATAATTACAACATGTTGAGTACCTCTCTAATCTTATTTTCTTATGGTATCATCAAATTTTTTACATAAAGCTTAATGTAATACAAGAAAAATTTTAGTGAATTTTGTAAAATAGACATTCTTGTTAAATATTATTTTAGTTCCTGACTAAATGTATGTATTTTAATTTTGATTTTAATTTACTATTTACATTAGAATAGGTCAAAATAATATGTGATACACATAATTTTTTAAAAAAATTAAGATCTATTGTCATGGGCGTAATTTTTTTTGAAAGAAGTAGTTTATACATTGATGTCAAGTAGGTGATGATCAAAACTCTTGTGTATACAGATGATATCATATTACTAGCACATGATGCAATTAGTTTACAAAAACAACTTGATACTTTGGCTAGCTTTTGTACTCAAAATCACATGGAAATCAATTTGGAAAAGTCAAAAGTCATTAGTGTGAAAACTAGATCTAAATTTTCTCTCTTTTATAAAGTACTAGAATTGGAACAAGTGAAGAATTATGAATATTTAGACATAAATTTTTCTCACAATTATAGTTGAGTACTTTGTGTGCAAAAGAAAGTAGAAGTTGGTTGCAATGCTCTATATTCATTGTTAAACCAATGTAGAAAAGCTGATCTTGGACTCTTAGTACATTTTTATTTAGGAGCTTATTGTTGCCGGTGGTTTTATATGGTACACAAGAGTGGGGTACTAGGTGTAAAAAGACGGGTTGGGAGCGTGTGGAGAGGATGCAAAAAGTCTTCACACAAGAAGAATTAGGTGTAAGGAATCAAACTCCTTATGCTATTCTTCTTGCAGAAACAGGTTGTTTATCTCTTGAGTTTGAAGCTCTCTACTTGACAATCATTTATATCAGAAAGGTGAGATCTTTTGATGATTCTCGACTTCCTTTTCATACTTTGCGTGCCACACATGCCAAGGGATGGTTTGCAGATGTGATGACTTGATATTGAGGTGGAATGTGACGGAAGTCAATTGGGATTTGCAACCTATGGCCCTTCATGAGCGTATTAAGGAGGAATTTTTCAATATCATTTGGAGCAGACAAAACACCAAAATGCAATTTTAACAACTTCATGTGAATACTATGCTTATTTATTGTGAGCAAAGATACCTTGTTGCAGAGATTTCTACATTATATTATTACCAGACATACAACAGTACCTCATAGTCTTGGAATTGAGTAATGACATTGGTTGAATATTGATAAGAGTGAAAGGATTTGTAAGTTATGTGGTGGGAGAAATGTTGAGTATGAAGAGCATGTATTTTTTACTTGTCCTAGATATTTAGAGATTAAAGTGTATGTTAAGAATTTTTTTTCTTTTTGTTTCAGTTTGACTCTTATGATTTAGGGTGTTACAATAAGAATGTTATTAGTTACCGTTCTAGCGCTTTTGTCACTAGCATTGGATTCTTTAGGTTCTCTCCTAGGTTGGAGTTAGATTGTTTGCATTGTGTTTTTCAACCTTTTGTCAGTTTTGATATTGATTTATTTACCATTTAGATAACCTACTCGGATTTTTTTCTACACATTCTCTATTCTTTACTTCAAGCACATATTGGAGTAGAGATCTACCATTTATTTGCATATAACAGTAACATTAGCTGATTTTAGAGAATATTCATCATCTACAAAAAATTGCATATGTATCTTTTCTTAAGAGATAGTTTTCAAACTGAAATAAAACATGCATTAATACAATGAAATGTGAATTTTTCATCTTTATTAAAAATACAAGATTGTGGTTGAATTATGTTCATCACTTTACATTCTGGATCATCACATTCCGGATACAACGTGAATGCATTTGATCTTTGTGATTTTTCAAAAAGGTAGATATACACAATATCACTACAGATATTCTTTTGATGACGAGTTAGCAATTTTAAGTCACATAAATAGTACTTTTACATATGCTGCAATCAGCAAACATTTGCATTCATATAGTTCGTGTCGGAATATTCGCATCAAACAATTGTTCACAATTGCAAATGTGCTGGTTATCTGTATCGCACAGGAGATATCTCTAAGAATACAATTTGTCTTCATGATTGAATAACCAATGCCATGTCAGCAGCCATCACATTTTTCTCCAAGTATCAAAGAATGTAGATATAATTTTTTTTCATATGGTTGATACATTATTATCCTAGATATAGTATTTGGTTTAATCAACGTATGTACATGGTTGTCCAAGAACATTAAGCATTGCTACACATTGAAAGTCTATCAAGGATGCTTAAGTGTACTTTATTACCTAAGTGTATTAATAGATTTATTCAATGATAAAACAAAAAATTTAATGCTCAAGAAGTTAGAAATTAGAAATTAGCATAAAGCGATTAGACTGTAACCCGCTTTTCTACTTATTTCAGCAGATTCATACATGCAACAGAAAAATGGCTTTAACCTTACAGAACAGATAAGACATCGAGTACCACATATGTTAGTACAATATGTCTTTCAACAGGGATCAGATACTTCAACTCAAAAAGGCAACTGTCAACCATGTTTTTATTCCTTTCGATTGGTTTCCAACCCAGCTTGGAAAAATTGAATGTGAATCTGAATGACATCAACATGATGTTCTCGGATGGAATTTCTCTCTAGGACTTTCATCAACAACCCATTAATGTACAACACGCCGACCTACCTTCAAACTGACTGCCAGTCAGATTTACAGAAGACCTTTAAATTGGTCCAGCTTAATCAAGCTCGAACCAACCTCAAAGGTATGGACTCCAAAGCAACCTGAATAACAAGAGTTAGAGAAGTCTCTCAGTACGTCTGCTGGAAGCTATTCAACAACTTTAAGTCCTTCAGATACACAATCCTTTACAACTCACGAACTACATGCACGTTTGTAGAATAGATAAGGTCAGGCATTGACACGCTGAACACATGATATTTCTCTACATTCAGGTATCTGCATCTAAGCGATGTCCGGTATGGGACTCAAACAACTCCTTTCAAAAGAAGACTTAGGGCAACCTAGCTACGAACTCAAAGCGTACCAGTTGTTTTGAAGCGACAGGCTCCACGTGAGTATAATTTTTTGAAAACCCGGCGTCAAATGTTATCACGATAGAAAGTTCAAACTCCAAAGAAAAGGCTCTGTGGCATCTCGGCCCAATCAGACATAACAGGTAAGTATACAAACAACAGTAAACACAGAGCTAAATAATACTGTGAAAGCTGCGGTCACTCTAGCAAAGATAAAAAAACATAATTCAATCTTATGGTTTTCTCTGTTCATGTTACAAGCAGAAGAAAACGCTTTTCGGAGGGGCGAACTTACCCGGCCGAAAGAGTGGGGCAGGTGCACAAACGAGGAAGTATGATGTATATGGGCAACTTCACCCCTCTACATACGTCACCATCAGCTATCTGGCCGGCAGGAAAGAAAAATTAAACGTTCAGGTTAATATCTCCACTTTCCAATTTTTGATTGAGCGATCAAGCATCCATCCGGTGCGTTTTCATCCAACTCGAAGTACATATTCACCTGTGTGCTCTGAATTTCACTGCTTTCTGTAGCCATCCTATCACCTGCTGCCACTGACTCCACTCGAAACAACTGGACGTCAATGGAATAAATTGGCACAGCTGACTTCTCCACGATCAGCTCTCCCATCAGAGGTTCCGTAAGAGAACACTGGGTAGCAATCCGACCAGTCACTCTAAATCCACCTGCAAAGACATATTCCGTGAAGACAAGGAGTACAAAAAAGATCCTGTTACTATTTCCTCGACAATATAGAACTAGTAAAAGGAACTCTTTCCACACAATTTTCTTACTGAAAATCCCATGAGTCAGTCACAAATACTTCACAAACCTCGAATTAAAATCGCATAAACTTACTAAACGTACAGTGTACAAACACAGTTCTGAACTTCTCTGCTAATTTTCTACCATTATCACAACGCATTATGGCAGTCATATAAAGCTATGTTATGATTATGAAAAAAGTAATGCACGTTCTCTCATTGATAAAACTGACCTGAACGTATGACAGGTAAAAGGGCGTGTTTTTGCGTGTCCTGCGTGATATAGAAATTTACAGATTCTGGAACAACTAGAGATCTTTGAAACCGACCTGCAGTAGATTGCAACCTCTGTCAACAAGCTGGACACGCAACATCAAGAAGAGAAAGTGCCTGTGTTCAGTAAAAGTATGTGAATATAAAACTTCCATTTTGGAAGGATAAAAGATGAATGGTTTAAGGAGGTACAGGCGAATCCACCTGGTCGGCTTTCGATGATAAATTCCGTCGTGGCTGACAGAGATTTCTGAAGGTACCCGCGTATCACATCCACGGTCAACAGATACTGCATTTCACAGTCACACAACTAGATAATTACTATATGTCTGCTGATATATTCTACACTATTCTACGACTAAATGAGTGGAGAACAATCTCGTGAAAACAAGAACTTGTCGAAACGAATGTAGAACTTGGCCTTACCTGTATATTGACATATGCTCCGTGATAGGTCTCAAATAATGTTTCAATCGGAGCCCCGTTCGGCACAATGACAATTCCGTTTGGTACATCGATAGAGAGGTGGAAAGGAAGCTGCAGGAGGAGTCGAAATCTTTAGCTAACGCGAAGTTCATGCGACTAGAAAACGAGAAACTACAGCCTCCACTCAGCAAACAATTGAAACGAAGGAAGTGAAAACTGTCAAAACTCAATTTGCTGACTGGTCAAAGCTCAGTGTCAATAGTGTGTTAGAGAGATGATTTCAGCTGTAAACCGGAGAGTGCTCACCTCCAAAACACCTGGAAGAATTTTTCCTGCTGGGCTGATGTCCAAAGTCTTGCTCCTGGGTTTGGAAAGTAAATCTTCGTCAAGTAAGCATACATCTGACATGAACATGAGGGGAAAACAAATATTAAGGAGAATTTCTTCTTAGAAAAACGACTGAATGCCTTACGTTCTTCAAGGTTCATACAACTGTTCCTACCGATATTCTTTACATCAACAACATATTGATAGCTAAGACTGCCATCGAAAATCCACATTGAAAAGCCTCATCCAAAATCCTCTTAATTACAGAATGATCCTCTTTGAGAGTAGAGTGTTCAGGAAACTCACATGAGCTGAATTGGTTTGACGGTATTGTAAAGGGCTTCAAAGACTCCCACTGATCTTGCACTTAACTGGACAAGTCCTGCAAGCACGATTTCTAGTTACTGCTGGTTGGAAACATTTGGACATTTGTCCTGCAGGAACAGTTATGCAGACGTGAATTCCAGAAAAACTGAAAGGAGGCGATCGTTGAGGACGAAACCAGCTGGATGATATCTTACGACAAAGGACAACAATTTCATAAAATGCGGTTGCATTTAATAATCATCCTGGAGTAATAGGGGAGAAAACAAAGACAGTCTCAGCACCACACTGCAAATCTTTCGGTGGTTTAGGTGCTCAAGAAAATTCAAAAAGAATCAAAATTGACCAAATTCTTTAACCAGCACACGTTCAAACAACAGCATACAAATTTTCAGATATGGCATGTGACCTGGAGCATAATCGTCCCCACGGCGGTGAGTCGAATGCCTTGATGGGTGAGAGTATTCGGCGTCGTGATAACCACAGTGCCTTCCAAGACATCCTGCAGGAAACTCCTGTCAAGCAGCGTCGCTAGCTCATCCTTAAACCTCACCTAAACTCCTAAACCTATAACTTCACCACTACAACATCCTGTCCAGACTGATACCACACCCCAGTCCAAAAACAATAAAAATAAACAAGAGCAATCCCCGCGCTTTTACATCCTGCCTCAAATCACACAGATCAGCAAATCACACTCAGCTCACCGGAGGACGGTAAACTCGATCCAATCGCGAAAGCCGCAGCTCCACGGCCATCGAGAATCAATTCTCCTCGGAACTCTGTGATGGCGACGTTCCTCCTTCCGCTAAGAAGATGAGCTTCTCCGGCTATCGTAAACCTGCATATTCGGAATTCCCCAAATCCTCCGAAAGGCCGCAACCATTCCACACTCGAAAGCTCGCCCTCGAGAGGGCTCGGTCGTCCACAACGAGAGAAGGCGATTACGCCATTCGACAACTCGTTCGACTCGATCGATCGAGAGCTGACACCATCTCTCCGCACGAACGAGAGCTCTGCTGGACGTCAGCAGAATCGCGACGCCGGAAGCCGGAAGCCGAACTGCGAGGAGCAGGTCGCGGGCCGGGGCCCACGCGCTCGTTCGATCGACCAATCAGAAGCCGCGCCTATTGGCAGAAAGTCTGCGACCCGACCCGACCCGGCCCGACCCGCGGGAGCAGTTAGGCCGTGCCCGGGCCCGAGTCTCCGAGACGGAGGACCTTCCGCGCTTGCGGTGGGGCCCGCTATCAGACGAATCCGGTCACCGCCTTTGGAATGAAGGCGCTGGTGGGGATCTGACGGAATCTCACCGATTCCAGGTTGTACCTACGCCGTACTCTACGCGCCTCGCCCCACGGGCAGTTACCAGTCTGTCCCGTAGTCGGTTCGAAAGAGAGCCGACCCTAGCCTCGGTGAACTCCGCCGCGACTTCTTCATCGTCGCGACTGGCGAGGTCTACGAGCCGTCGTTCGCCTGTCGCTCGTGAGGCTCCGGTCAAAGGACCGTACGAAGTCAGTCGCTGCAGCGGAGGATCTGTCAGACAGGGGGTCGGGTGAAGATGGTCGACAGTGACTGCGACGGAGCGAAATCGCCGTGGAGACTCGCGACCTCGCGATCCGGGGAAAAAGTCTTCTTCGCAGCTGGACACTGGAAGGATGTCTTTGACTTGCGCCACCGCTATATTCGGATGAGGGCCTCCCTCCGCGTTCGTTCAGAGGTCCTTAATTCCGGGCCGCTGCTGTCAGAAAGGCCACCACGGGCCCTTCCTTCGTCACGGCTTCCGACCTCGTCCCAAGTTGGGCACCTTTCCTTCTGACCGCGTACCGTTGTACCACTGCTTCCTTTTTATAGACACGAGTTGTTGAGATGTGGGAATATGTTGGAGGGACATCGCTTTTCCATGTGAGTGCTTTTTTCGCTCCGCCCGAAAATTCGCTTCCGACTTTTTCCTCCTCCTTGCTTTCCTGAATGTCCCTCATCTTCCCATTTTGCCTTTCTTGGGCAGCTCGCGAGGAAAATTTATGAGATCTCGGCAAATACGGTGCCAGAGCCACAGCGCGCTTGTTGCAAGCGACGCATTATTATACATTTCAGGGGTCTAGATTAATATAAGGGCGTCTCTTTCATTTAGATGTCCTTACGAAGAAACCTTCCGGGGCTTTCGAGTTGCCAGGAAAATGCCGATAACTGCTTTATTTATTAACTGCAAGGGAAGCCTTCTGTCCCGTCTCTAACCGGGTTAGTAACGCTGGTTAGAGCTAGCCTAGGTGGTTGCAACCCTGCGATCGACAAAAAGACTCGGAGCCGTCCAATGCTGCTAAGTAATTATAATTAGATTCCATTCGATTTACTGGAAAATTATTCGACGATTTTAATTGATCCTGGGCGTCACCCCGCACAGCGACCGTCCGGTAAGCTTTCCGAAGAAACCGATCGTGGATGTCTCGGTATCGCTATCCGACTGCCCATATTTAGAAAGATTCAAATCCGGGGCAGAAAAGATGCCAGTGGCGCTCCGCATATGTAGAACATTTTCTGGGCGTTCTTTTGCGATACATGGATGACGTTGGGCGGCCGTGCAGTCCACATGTTCAGGACAGTTTGGGGACCGATTTCGAGGCACTCTGGACATTTGCCAGCAACAGATTTCTTGCGCTTGCTCGTACCTGCAAAAGCTTCGAGGTTGACACGACATGTAATGTTGTACAGTGAATCAGATCGTACGCCACATCTTCGCGGTAAATATTGCTTTCGGTCGAATCGATCGGCTATTTCTTCTCCACCAACTGCCTTCCACCTAATCCTTTTTCGGTATAGAGCGAGAAAATCGCTCCATCGAAATTTCTAAATGCGCTATTCACGCTTTAATAGGATGTCTTCGAGGAATGAGGAAATTCTCTCATGGAAATGAGGAAAAGTTTTGTGGTTCGAGGGCAATTTACATCTAAATATTCTTATCATATATTTATATATATAAAAAAATATGTCTTTCAAAAATGAGAAAATTCTTATGGAAATGAGGAAAAGTTTTGTGTTCGTGGGCAATTTACACCTAAATATATTGTAATCTATAAAAAAAGATGTCCATCAAAAGTAAGAAATTTTTTTTTGGAAATGGGGAAAAGGTGTGTGGTTGCAATTTACAAGAAAATATTTACTAACATATATAAAGAAAAGAATGTCTATAGAAAATAAGAAACGAGGAAAAGTTTTGTATTCGTGACCAATCCACACCTAAACAATCTCGTAACATACAAAAACCGCACATTTAATTAAACTTGCGAAGAAAATAAAGCCTCCAACTATCATGAGACGCTCAGCGAGCGTCAACGAGAGCCGGTCATAATGAGAACTGCGGACCGGCGGAGAATCAAAGCTCCACAGCCCGCGGACACCTGTCGAGAAGGCTCGCATGAAACGAAACCGGGACGACATGTGGGTACGAAACGTGCAGCCCATTCACAAAGGCAGACGACGACGAGGGAGCAGGAAAGGCGAAGGAAAAAAAAACGCACCTCGGATGTGCGCCATAACGAACATCCTCGAAAGGCGACCACGCTACGTGCGAGCCATTTACGCCGCAGTAGGGCCGCCCAGGCTGGTTGGCTGGCTGGCGTGGTACGCGTCCTCCGCCCTACTACTGTACTACTACTGCGGCTGCGTCTTCGTCGTCGTGGTGACGACGCTGCCGGTGGAGGAGCTGGAGGTCGGAGGGGAGGGGAGGAGGGCTCGAGAGCTTCAAATGGCGCTGGGCCATGCCGGCGACCGGCTACCGGCGACCGGCCAGCAGCCGCGGCTGGAGGACCAGCTGCAGGTGCAGGTGCAGGAGGAGCATAAGAAGCGGTGACTTGCCGTGGGCTTCTCTTGGCGTCCAACGTGGAGCCTGCACCTGTCCCGGACCGAGGGACGAAGGGGAGGCGAGCGAGGGTTGCGAGGCCCGGGCCGAGAAAGCAGTGCTCCTGCTTCTTCCCCGACCTTTTGGACACATCTTCGTCCTGAAGGAAGGGGAGGGAGGGGGATACACAGAGAGGGGAGAGAATTGGGAGTCTGAGGAGGAGGAGGAGGAGGAGGAGGTCGATGTAGTTAAGTGAAGGAGCGAGCCGGTTTTCGGTTGGTGATTGATTGATACATTGGGTCTTGCAATCAATCGACTCGGGACATCCATCGCCATCGCCATTGTCGCCTCTGGGAGACAGCAGCAGCAGCAGCGGTAGTAATAGCAGGAGGAGCAGCAGCAAGCGGCAAGCGCAGCGTGTGGCCTGGGGACGACGGATTTGGGAAGTTGGCCCATGCCGATTGCGCCTGGCGCCCGACGACGTCGAGATTGTTGGACCGGGATGGTGCCGAGAGGCGGCCTGTTCAGAGGATCTTGTTGTTCGCTTATGGGTTGATTGATTGCTGGTGGGCAGAAAGATAGGTAGCTTCATTGGCTCGCTGGCTCTCTGGCTTGTGGGGTGGTTATGGATCGATCGATGGGGTGAGGACGAGAGCAGGGAGTTGCATCGTCGGGGCTCGGTTCGGCTGGGGCCGGATCACGCTGCTGTGACCCAGCGACGGGAGCATTATGTGAAGAATTTATCGGGTTGCTTGTCTGCGGTTGGGGGGCGGGGAGGGCGGGGAGCGGGCGAGCGAGAGAGCGGGATTACGATCAACGATCCATTCGGAAAGTCGCAGATGCGGACGAGGAGGACGAGTGCAGGGGTGACAATTTGATCTGCACGTGGCCGGATGGTGGTTGCCTTGCGAAGGGAGGGGAAGGGAAGGACGCCAAGGGAAAGGTAGGGTGAGTTGGATCTTGGGAATTGGGCATGACGGATTCGGCTGCTGCTTGCAGCCAGGCGGTGACGCGGTAAAGAGGGGCAGGGAGGAGGAGGAGACGAAGAAGGGCGAAAGGACGCTCGTTGCTGTGTACAAATCATTGATGGTGGAAGTCAGCCGTTTGGAACTTCTGGAAATGCTTTGGCTAGATACCGGAATGGGGTGCAGTAGAAGAGGTAGTCCGGAGCGATTCGACGAATCTGATCGGGCCTAGGTCGGAGATGAGGGTTTAGGCACCCTGATAATTGCTTCAGACGGGCGAAAGGGACGCGTTCCCTTGCCTCGCATGTGGTCGGCTTATCTGCATTGATCACGTTCAGCACTCTCTGGGGTCTTGATTCAATATCTGATCCTGTACATATTGGAAACATACGTTCGGAATTGGGGGGAAATTGGCTGTTTGAGTTGAATTACGTAGCCCTGCAGTACCAGACGTCGAGAAAACTAGAGATCTAGTATGAGAGGAAGCGGCGATTGTCCACGCCCTGTACGGGTTTCAAGTCTCCGCCGGTGAATGGTGACAGCTCTTTAGGGTTCGTTGGTGGACTTTGAAAGGATGATGGGTTACGACTTCAGTGGATCTGTGCAAAATGCATGAGGATGGAGTGGAAAACTTTTGGCAACCCTTGGGAACAGATTTGGCCCATGAGGATTTCATAGCAAATTTGTCGATTGTAGAATTGCAGTGCTGTCAGGGAACTGCATGGGGCGTGGTCGGGAGAATACTAGCTGTACGCTCAGATATAAACTTTCGCCCTTGCTCCTCGACGATAGATTAGGTGAGTCCGTAGCTTCAAGTGGAAGCATGGCCGGCGGGCATACTCGTTCGTCGAGCTGCGATTCTAGTATTTCCAGTAGTGCAGGGTACATCGAACATACGGTTTCGCGGTTTGACACATTGGCCGGAATTGCTATCAAATATGGTGTGGAGGTAAACTTTCCTCTCTTTGAATCTGTTGCGTGGTAATCTCTCTGGTCATAAATTGGTGAATATATTGGCATTATACAAGGATGGCCCAGGCCAAGTCTTGTATCTTGGAGATACATCAGTCATCAGGCGATCTAATGATGTGACCATCTCTTTCAACTGAGAGTAGAATTTATGAATTTGAAGATTCATAATTTGTGAACGAAAAAATATCTGGAATCGTATACCGGCTTGGATATTTTGCTCTGATTTGGACGTGGCTAGTAGGCTCTCTCAAAGAATCCTATGTCTCCTATCAAACTAATTATGTTTCATTTTTCGAATATTCCATTTTAGTGACCACGCTCTATCCGATGAGTTTTCCTCTCTTTTTTTCTATGAATCCAAAGTTTTTGTAGTCTATCTCAATATGCCGATAAATTTACCAAGTGACTGATGGACGGGTGCGATTTGTATACCTCGTGGGAAACCCCCGATGAGTACCTTTTGTTCCAAGATATGAACGGTCATTTTGCACTCGAACGTGCCATATCCATTGGGAGGCTTAGGTAGGAGAAGATCGACAACGAACAAATATATTTATGAATCACGTGCTTTTTTACGTCTCACAGCTCACAGAATAGTTGGAAAGATCGTCAAAGGCTTGCATGTAAATTACATCTGTTAGTCTATATGCAAGATACTTGTGCTTAGATAATATTATGATCATCTTGGGTCCTGGTCAACTATCAATTATTGACAAGCCTATGTTAACCTGATTCATGCTGTCTAGTATCAGTAACTCAATTATGTACTAGAAATTCGTGGGTGAGGTTCTTAGAATTGTTCGAAATCAGGTGTGGTTATCATCCACAATGATTTCGAAGGAGCGTACAACATTTATGCTATGTACCGAGGCTTGTGATTAAACTTACGTACCTAGTTGTGCAACTCCAGTAGTTCTATTCTTTAGGATTGATAGGATGAGCTGTAACATAGCTGCAAGGTGTGAGCTCATTTGTGTTATCTCTCGTAAGTTGGCTTTTCTAACCACACCTACGCAACTTCATTTTCATGCGCAGGTTGCTGATGTCAAGCGCATGAATGGTTTAGTAACAGATTTGCAAATGTTTGCTCTTAAAACCTTAAAAATACCTCTTCCAGGGAGGCATCCTCCGTCGAGTCCAAATAGTCTCGGGTAAGTCAACACTTCATTTCTTATGATTATTCCATCGTATAGTTCCCGTATCTAAAATCATGACAAATAGTTTCGAGGAATCTTCAAAGACTTATGATCTCACGATTACCTTCACAATATGAAGTTTACCTTAGTTCAGTTGCATTTGTGTTAGAATTCAGAGAACAATTTAACAACCCGATTATTCTGTTAAAAAAAAATAAAAAATTTGAGGTTTGTTTCTGTTTTATTGTTATTTTTGTCTCTGCAGTTGGACATTGTTGTATCTTTGTCTGGGTTAAGTCTAGAGGAACATTTTAACCTTCAATGGGATTGGTGGACCAGTGCAATGCCAGAAGCTTACTTCAGGATTTGCTGAGATGTTAGACATCATTAGCGTAACAGCTGATTTTTGTCGTTGCGTGTTAATCTTCTCTGGTTTATTTGTGGTTGTCAGCATTTGTGGTTGAGTTTACAGAGAATTTGCCTGAGTTTTTTTAAAATAGAAAAGAATCTCTTGTGTAAGATGTCTTTTTCAAATTCAGACGAGTGAGTTTATTTTCACAATACAACTGCAGCTAATCTGGTGATTAGAAGATCGCTGCGTACGCTGGAGACGGACTCGTATTGATGATTTATGTTTTCAATGTCAGATTCTCAAGCAAGCATTCGACGCCACGACGTGGCATGCATCCAAACTCGGCAGTAAAAGTTTCTAGCAGCAATAGGGTTCAGGAAAAAAGACCTATAACTTCTGCCATGGGTCTTTTGAGAGGTTACTATGGTCTCTCAACATCAACGACCAGACATAGTGACGAAGGAATGGAAATGGCAGTTTACAAATCGGATAGCGACTACCAGTCTGAAGATGAGCCATTTTCACCTCAGAACAGGGTGCCGGAGGCCTATCCAGCAAGGTCCTTGCCCAACAGTCACCATCTACAGGAAGCAGAATGTGGTATAGGTTTTGATCCCTTTGGAGTGGATGGACGCAGTGAGAATGACAGACTGATGAATAGTAAGTTTTGTGATCCGCTTTCAAAGTTCAGCAGAAGTACACCCTTAAGACCGGAGATTATTGCTGGAGATTCTGGAGGAATCAGTGACATAGAAAGGAGTGCTGAACGACCTGTGAGGCGACGTGGAAAAGCTGAGGGTGGTACTTCGCTGTTTACCGTTCCCACGGTTGAAGTGCCAGTTACTCCCGATTTAGAAAAACCTAGTCGCATTGATGTTCCATTGGGGAAAAGCTCTGTGCTGAGGCCCAAGATAATAAGCAGGGTTCCTGATTTTGACGAGGAACTAAGTCCTCCTCCTCGACCTGTTGTAGTTAGTCCAACCAATGGCTTGTATACAAACAACGACACTCCAAGCACTGGAAGTGTAGCCGCTAGGGCTTTGAGTAGCACCTTACTGAGTGGTAAGGCTGTTGAAGGTTTAATATCTAAAATAAGACGATCTACAAGCGTTCCATCCATACAGGACGATAGGAGGTCCTACAAAGGAGATTCTTCGGCCCTTTTCATGATGAGTTCCGCGGCAAGCACTCAAGGTGGGGTGATATCTAGTGTGCTGGAAGGGTTTCCAGGCGCTGTTCGTCGAAACAAGACAGCGTTAGATTGATCCGCTGTGCCATCTGCCACGGCATGAGAACTCCGCCTCAGCATTCTACACATTTATTTAGATGAAAAGTAAGTCATTCCTTCATCAGCGCAGATCACTTTACCCACTAATTGTAGTAAGTATGCATTGGGACATTGCCCATGCTCGGCTATCTGATCAATGGTAATTCTATCTAATCCCTCGCCAGTTGTATTATGCCTTGTGGATCATGCCACATTCTTTTCTTCCCCCTTTTTCGATTCAATCAGTAAGGAACAATTCATGGGTATAATTGGATTCCTTCCGTCCAAAGTGTACACCCTTGAGTATACACAAATTTGTGGTACTACTAAATGTACAAAATGGTCTTTGCTCTATTTGGGTTCCTAAACACGGTGAGCACTTTTTACATGATGTCCTGCATTCTTCCTGTCTGGGGCTTGAGGCCGTTGAGGGGTCCGCTTGTGCATCATGTGTCTACGGTCATCTTCTTTTCTTAAGCAGTCACATTCTTGATGTGGCCCCCAAAGTTTTGAAGAGTGCATTTATATGAAACATCTGCACATGCATTCTACTTTCTCTCTTTTGTTCAAAAGTTAAAGAAATATGAGTCTTGCCCATCATTACTTAAGGTAAGTAGTGATTGATTTTGTGCAATCACGACATCAACGATCTGGTCAGGATTTATCGCAGGCTTTGGAGTTGGAGGTTTTCTAGGTAAAGAAAAGTCGCTGACGCTGCATGGTTCCTGAGAGTCCAAAAGATAAGAAAGGTTCATAGAAACATGTTGAGAACAGATTTGTGATCTTAAGTGAATTGAATGTCAAGATATTCACATTTTATGCGGTTGGGATACGTTGAGGCTGAACAGGTACTTCGAATAGACAACCCGGAAACAGATATTTGACGTAAATACTCTACCACGTACGGAGTAGCAGATTGAGACCCTGCATCAAAGAACTTGTTAGACGTTCAGTGTACTCTGGATCTCAAGAAAACGTGAAACCCTCGACAAAATTTAAACAATTCAGTAGCAAGGCCAAAAGTGAAGCCTTTGACAGATACAGAGGAGATCTAACATCTCTTTAGTGCTCTGATGATGATTGACAGAGCACACTAACACTGGGCCCAGGGGAAGAAAAAAAATTCATCAAATTTAGTTCGGTTCCACGCGTAAAGTGAGAATCAACCTTTTCTCTGCTGCATGTCCCAATCTCTGAAAGCTTAAATTTGAAAGAAACGAGGACTGTCTATTGAGATAATTGACACTAGCACAAATTTAGTGGCATTCCTTTGATGTGACAGAATACCGTGAAGGCATTGTAGATCTCTCCAAATATTTCGCATGGCATGTAACTTGATTATTTCTTTTACACGAGCTTTTCTTGCCTATCGTTCAATTATGACAGTTTTATAGCTATGATCATAACGATACCTGCTGATTCGGAGGAGAAAGAGTTACAAACATGGTTCTGCCATGCACTTATTCGAAGGGTAACAAAGAAGTTTTATTTCTTTCAAAACACAGGTATGTGAACCATATTTCCTTTGTCACAGCCCGTGCAAATTATTGCGCATACTCGCTTAAAAAGTGTGCAGCTTTTCTTCTTCAATCTTAGTTTGATCCAATTGATGAGTTGTGGTTGGTTACAACTTACTTAGATATTTAGTCTTCTGGTTTTTAACGGTAGCGAAGAATTGAGGGAGCTTTGAATATTTTTTGTCACCCATATCATGCGGATTGCAAGATCATTTATCAAGAAAAATTGTTTCTCCTTTCCTCACCTGATTCTTGTGAACCTGAATTTTAATATTTCTTTTTCATGTCTACTCACCAGTCCCACGATCTCCCTCTCACCTATAATAAGTCAACTCCAGTAAAGATGCCTTGCGGCAACAGCTCGTGTACAACTGTCAAGCTTTTTACAAACATGCTTTTTCTTCTGTATATGTGACGTTTATCACTTAAGATTGCATAGGAAATACAATATTCCAAACTTTTATCTAAAAAATCTAAGTTTGTGATCTCGTATAATTTGAAATGGCATATGACTAAACTTCTTTTTTTACAAAAAAACCACTCCACAAAATTACGATTTCATCTGAAACCGAAAAGATATGTTCCTACTGTGTACGCAGACTTCTGTAAGTGACTTTCCCGATTCTGCAGCAGATTAATCTGGTGATACTACGGCTTCCCATCTATTTTCAAGATCTGCTTGACCCTGGTTTCTATTTCAAAACGTTGGGACTAAAGAATGAGACGGTCCTTGAGAACAGAAAATGAGAGAGCATTGAAGAATCAACGTGATGGGTCAAATCTATGAGTCCGAGGATTGTCCTCTGTTACACATTTCAACTTGAAATATCAATAATTGCATTTGAATTCTTCAAAGCTAGAGAATATATGTTTCTAGACCACTGTTCTCCATTATCAGGTTCTATATTCTGATTCGTCCATCAAATCTATAGATAAAATGCTCTACTTTGTACTTAAAGTACCTTTGAAGCCAAAACTTTGTTCATGTAATTTATTCAACCATCTATAAACATTATCATTTCATATGACATCGGAAAGAGGTAAACCCACAAATAAAATATATATGTATAACGAACTTCATTATTTTGTCACTATCATAAGTAGTTTTGTGATATTATCTTTATTAAAACAAAAATCCAAATTTAAATGCATTTGTTTTTTTTATTTTGGTATGAAAAGTGAAACAAAATCATCTCAGATTGCACATATCTTGAGTACAAATGTTTATATTTCTCAAATACTCAAATTTCTCACATACTTATACCGTAATGAGCTTTGTACATCAAAAATTTTCAATTTAATCTTAACAAAAATTGTTGTCATAATGTAGTCACATACATTTAAATCTCATATATTTTTTGTTGTTAAAGCACATATTTAAAATTTTTATTTAAAAGAGACAATATTCTCATGTGTAATAACAAATAATTGTCAAAATGTAACATAATGGTAAAGATCTGATCTCATGAGAACATAAACAACACCAGGGATTCAAATAGTGTCATCAATTAACATTCTATTGAAGAGTTTTACTTTCACGCACATGTCACTTCCACAAGCATCTACATTTGCTAAGGTCGAATGCGACACATTGTTGGATCAAATCACACTCAAATACTAAAAATTCATCCAATAAACTCCACAAAAATTGCAAGCTACTCCGCAATTGATATTTAGGGGAAAACTTCCCAAGATTACACACTCAGCCGTCTGCACCGAGCATCCAATGTACAGATTTGTTTAAAACATGAGCTACACTATGCATCACTCACAACACCCGAATTAAACTCTCTATTTCAAATGCGATATCTTCGACAAACTGAAGTAACTTGCGCACGGTGACAAAACACACAATTCACAAACGTGTGGAGGAATACAGACTTAAAACTAAAGATTGACTCATTAAAAAGCCCCCCATAGACAGAGCCTTGAGTCTCTTTATTCACAACGAACACCTTGAGTCATCCCCCGCTAGTTGCAAGCCCCCATCAGGTGTGACTTCCGCATATGCGGCAGTTGCCACACTCATAGAGCTGCTATCTATTCCTATCCTACTCAAAACTGATGACAGCTTTAATTCTAAATTCTCTTTCGTTTGCTCTAAGCCGAAATTGAAGGAATTGACCATTCTACCTAACTGTCGATGTCCTACTGCTCCGCTGGCTCTCAATTCCTTCACTCGATGTTCCAACAAATCCAATTTCATCCACTTTATGATCTGGATCTGCCATTCCACATAACTGCAAAGACATCTCTCTACCCTTGCGCGCAACGCCGCATTCGTTTGTTGTTCCAACTGCTGGACTGTCGCCTCCGTCTCCAGCAATTTTGCTTGAGCCGCAACCAATTGCTCCTTAATTGCTGACAGTTGAGTTCGCAATCTGCTGCAAACCACGTCCAATTTCTTTCCATGCTCTAACTCCAAAGTTTGTGCAGCTTTGCAATCAGTTAATTCCTTTGTCTTACGAGCCAATTCAACAACATGCGATTGATCTTGAGCCGCCAAAGTTTCCGTCAACTCATCCACGCGACGAGATTCCTCATTAAATGCCACTTGAGAAGCCTCCAATCCATACCGAAGTACTTCCTTCTCCTTCTGCACAATGCAAATCTCAATCCGAAGGCCCTTTTCTTCAAAGCCGAAGGTGTCTAAGCCAAAGTCCAAAGATGTTAAGGCCGAAATTCCTTCTTTGCCGAAGGTCTTTTTCTTTAAAGCCGAAAATGTCTAACCCGAAGTCCGAAGTCTGAAGGTGTTAAGGTCAAAGGTACTTTCTATACCAATCACTTTCAACACCCATAACTCGATGACCCCTCATCCGTTTCAAGAGATCTTGAGCTCGTTAGAACGAGCACGTTAAGTTCTATATATTGAGACCATGCCTAGGGCAAATTTCCACTAATCGAGAAAATTATGAATCATCTACTCTAGTGTATCATAACTCATTTTATTCAACTTTATTGACTACAAGGAAAAACATTAACTTCAAAGAGAGTTAGCTAAATGGATGTCACTATTACTAACTTGGCTTCTACCACCGAATCCATTATTTAATCTACTTCGTAGCATTCTTATATTAAAAGTTTGAAATTCTTAGTCATGTATTCCTCAATCTTACTTTTTTTGAAAAAAATAAAACTACATTACCATATCATGTACTTCAATGATATAATAATTTGCATATTGTGCTTTCATGAATTAAAATTCACTAATATTTTAAATGTGAAATATACATGTTCATGGCACTAGCATTAAAACAATTCACGTAACTGATGGTTTGTAAGATGTGACTAGTTTTTTTTTTGCTTGAAAACTATGCTATGTAAGGATAGATGTTGGCGTTTTGCTTAAAATTCTGACATTAAAATAATTTGAAAGTTGTATTTCAATCCTCTTAATGTGAAAAGACTTAGATTCTATTAAAATTGTAATTTTTTCATATCACAAGTGTAAATCACTCTAAAGTGGAAAACCTTACAAATGTTTCCCTGTGACCAGCACTTTCCTCGGAGTTTTGGTTGACAGATTTGGACAGTTCGAAGGAGAGAAGTGGACACGGTCGTCGTAGAATTTTTCGTAGCGTAAATTTAAAGAAAGCCACGGGTGTAGAGACAAAAAAATAGATATTAATTGGAGGTTTTATTTATTGACCAGGCCCAGGGCTCTAAATGTGCTGGGATACCTTGTGTTCTCACCTGCCAATCTAAACAGTCTTATTAAATTGCAGATCTATCATTGTCACCAATGCCGATACTTATTTGCTACGAAACAGAGCCAGGGGAATTTGATGACCCCGGATCCAATGAAAAGGAAGTAGAAAATTAGATATAATAAAAAGGCTGGTGAAATAAGTATGAGAAATTGACCATGCGACTTGCGAGGTGTCTCTACTCATTCTGTGCTCATGGTCTATGCAAGTACTTGGGCATCGTCGCACAAAGATGCTGAATGGGAACTCTGATGCTTTGGCCGGCCGAGTCAAGGCGTGGCAATGAGGTCGACGACCGTTTCTGAGCAGCGATGCCCGAGGCGAGGCATGCGATGGTCACTCACAAGGCCCATGCAGTACTGCGTTGTACTGGAGATCCAAAACGAGGTGATTGTCAAAAAGCGCCAGATCAGAGTTGGTGAATCTGAGAAGAATTGTAGAATAGCTGTGGCTCGGTTTCTCACTTCGCATGGAGCTGGGCTGAGGAGTAAGTACATGGGGAGCAAGTACTGGTGCCGAGTGATGCTGGACAGCAACACTTGTGCTGTGCACTAATATTCCCTGAGCCTAAAGCCTATCTTATCTGTAGATGCCGATGGATGACGATTTGTCAGAGCTGCTGATTCTTGACCAACACATTCTTCGTAGGTGGTAGCTGAGCAAAAGGCAACTGATTATAAAATGGGCCTACTTCGAGGGTAGTTTGCTGACAAAAATACTCATGGACGAGGAAGTACTCATACTTCTATGCATGTGCCATGAACCGTTTCTGAATGTGCGATGAATTTTTTTTTCGATATATATATTTCAAGGTGAAGAAAATCTTTAGTAGAAAAAAAAACTTCGGGCATGCAATGGTCGACCCCTCACATGACAAGAGGGGAAGTACTAATAAATGAAATTCACTACCGTGAATACTAGAAAGTTAATCATTTAGTTGACCTCGTTCTCTAATTGCAATTAGATGATATTCCAATTGCCAGTTCTTCTTTCACGATGGCAGAACAAATGGTTCACGAATCTTAACCCATGCACTAGAATGCTGCCCAACCAGAACTCGCGCTTGCGGAACTAGATCTTGTTGATGATGGCAAATTCACCTGATCACATAGCAGTTTACAAACGACTTAGGTCAGCAGCGAATAGGATCATAGCTAAGGAAATCATCTGTCTACGACAATCAACGAAAGAGAGGAGAATCAGAACTGCTGTATCTTCGTGATTGCTTTAATGTGACGACCTCCGATCCTTTCAATACATCGAGCTAGTTAACTGAGAAAGCGATGCATTTCAGGGACAAAACTGTTCTGCTAGCAAGAGATTGTCAGTTTCAGAAGTCAAATGAACATCTGACCTTGAGGGCAGACATATCTGACAAAGAATCACCACCAGAACGCTCGGACGCCTTGTCTTGTGCATGAGCTTTTGATGTAGTACTCAGAACATAGGGTTGATGGGGACTTCTTATTGGCCTAGTATCGTTTGGTGGTGGAGGCAGAGGTGATCGGATTCTTCCACCACCAGGAGGAGGTGCAAGAGCACCTTTCATAGACTTGGGAACTGGAGATGGAACTGGTGTGCCTGACAGCATCCCTGACCCTGAAGCAGGCTGCTTAAGGGTTTTCACATTTATCCGGATGGTTTCTCCTTCCTTCACAAAGACAATCAAAAGGTTCGGGTCAAACCACACACCATCATGTTGACAAAAAGACAATCAGTTGAAAATCAACTACATTGATCTCAGTCGACCAAGCGTATCAGGTTCTACATCACTATAAACAAGATAGAAACATTTCGGCTCCAAGAAATAGGCTCATCAACTAACTAGGCAGTCAGATACAATATACGTGAGCGTTATCCCAGTGTTGCCTCCGAATTATTTGGAATTGGGAACAATATTGTTTGATTAACATCAACACAATACTGGACAAATGATTAGAGCAGACCTTTCAACAACAAGGTGCTTTCGACAACTAAATAATTAAATATACTGGTCCAGTAGCTCGTCAAAAAATGACAACGTGCGTTGAAAATGGAGAGGTATATTTAATCGACAGTTATTATATCTGATTACAGCTTTCATGGAAGAGAGAGAGGCCAAAATTTTAAAAATTGGACATTTCCGAAGAATACCTTCAAACGCAGATCTAGAGCAGGAGTTGAGGCATTTCGACCGTCCTGGTTGAGAGAGTCCTCATCTTTCTCTAACTCCCTTTTGGCATACTTCTCATGATCTGACAAAGCCACGTTGAAGTCGAAAGCCTCGTTTCTTTCGGCGAATCCAAGACCGATGAAAGCATGTTTCCCTCTGCCATCATCAATTCTGAGGACAAAGTAACGGGACGAGTCTGTTACACTCTCGACAGTGACATCCCGTTTTCCAGGAAGAACGGGGCAGGCCGCAAACAGTTCTCCTGTGTTCGAATCTTCCAATCTAACCTCGCATTTGTCCTTCAGGGAAAGAACTTTCAATCTCCCGGTCCATATTTTATCCGATTGCAGCCACTCTGCACATTTGTAACCCCCGCTGGAGCTTCTTAACGGGATTTTGTACACAGACACTTCTCTCACTACGAGAAGTGTGTGCTCAAAAGAATCATCGTCCTCGTATGACATGCCGAACGAAAGGGCAAATAAATCTTATGTAGATTCAATGGTCTAGCTGACGAGATGATAACGACTGAAACACACAGAGAACAGAGTCAGAAAACAGAGAGAGAGAAGGCATTTTTCTCATTCACTGGAGTAAATGTAGGCGAACAAGAAAGAGAGGTGGAATGAAGCCAGCGCTGAGGACGATCCGGGAGAAAGGCATAGTCAAATACTACATGCGATCATCTCAGATGTATGTTCGCCCTGAAGACCATGTTCTGTGACAGAAATAGGTGTCTTTCACGAAAAATTACTGACAACCAGATCAAAGAGTGTCATTCAGCAACAGCATTTTCGAATGTGCTGCACCAGAGGCACGACGAGCCCCACCCAGACTTTGATTGAAGACACACAACATCCATTACACGCCTACCCAATGTGCAAATGCGCCTGCCGCTGAGGGAATTCCTCCCGACCTCGTACACAGGTACGACGGCAATGTGTCCCTTTCTTGATGGCCGGATCTCACGAGCCCGATTACTCTCAAACTGAAATCCAGGCTGTTTGACAAAAATCCGAAGAAGTTTAATACACACCTCGCTAACTCGCTCAATGTGGCACTCTTGCAGCCGCGTTGGTTGCTGGTCCCGCAATAGAACAGGGCAGTCAGTGCCTCCTTGCTCCCGGAACAACCCAACTTCCTCTCTCCCTCGCTCGCTCCTACTACTGCTGCGTGTTCCAAATCTGCACGCCTTCCGCAGTAACCTCTTCGCACACGTTCACTCTTTCTATCTTTGTTTCTTCCTTCCTTCCTTCCTTTCGTTCTTCGACAACCGTCCCCCCGAGGCCACAACTACAGATTCCTCCCCTTCACTGCCATGCCATGCCCGCCCTGCTTTCCTTTCCTGCACCACCGCCACCTTACAGAACTGCAATCCCCGCTTGGACCATCACCCACCGACTCGATGCCACCGCCCCACAAAACCCAGATCTACGATTTCATGATCACTCCACTCAATCGATCAATCCTCCTGCTCCTCCTCCTCCTACTTCCTCCTGTCCCAGCACTCTACTCTGCTCTGCACTCCTCTCTCTCTCTCTCTCTCCTCTTCTGTCCGCCTCTTTCCAACCCGCCAAACAGCGAGCGAGAAATTGATCCCCGACGCAAGCGATGCTTGCTTCAATCAATCCCTTCAATCCCTTCGCCCTCCCTTCTGGCTGCTGATTGAGCACAGGGGTTGTAACCTTGCAGATGTGGCAGCTGTGCACTGTCTCACTGGAGGCTCATGTCGCCCAATTTAAGATCACGACCTCCTGTGCAAGCACTGAGAAGAAGCCACAGCTGCGCCAACAACAACAGACGCAGCAGTGGTAGTCGTAGTTGCAGCAGCAGCATCAGCAGCAGCAAAGTCGGGAATCAAAGAACAAGGTACGGCAAGTGAAGTGAAGTGGACTGATGTCGTTCTCCGTACTCCTCTCTCCCTCCCTCCCTCCCTCTCTCTCTCTCTCTCTTTCTTTCCTGTCTGTCTCTCTGTCGTCGTCGGAGGAGGAGAGAAGGAAGAGCGAGGACTCTGTGGGCTGACTAACTCAACTGGACGAACATGGACACTCTGTTAGCATCCTCCAAATTTAGTTCCCCCCGCCCCCCTCTGACACCTTCGGCCTCGGCCTCCGTTCGGCTAACCAGACCCCCCACCCTCTCCTCTTCTACTGGCCTTCCCTCCCCCCACCAACAAACCTTGAGATTTATCCGTGAGCGAGCGCGAGGGAGGTGGGGAAGAACGGGGGGTACTTACGCACTATTCCGGCTGCTGCTGCTGAAAAGGCACGTCGCCGTTTTGTTATTAACCATATTGAATTTCAAGAGATAATCAAACTTAGATTAAAAAAAATTATTTAAATAGGATTGACAGTAGTTTAAGATAGGAGTACAGTACACCATATGAGTATTTTGATTTATGAAGTTTCGAAATCATTAGCTAATTATCATGCGAGGTCGAGCTCCCCTTCTGATCTTTCTGCTTCAATTTTTGGCCGACCTTTGTTCGAAATATTTTTCAGCCGGTCCTAATGCCTGCCGACTTGTTCCTTCGAGGAGGAGTCATGAGTGCGTTGAGATGCTTACCTTTGGAACGAAGCGTGGCCGAGTTGGTCAGATCTTCCTGTGCCTCTATAAATGTCGTTTTCTATAAATTTTCGTCGTGGTTGAGTTGACCGACTTCTTCAGGCTCTTTTCCTGTCGAGATATTGGAAGAGACTCACCGAACAGGTCCATATCAGTTCGGTTGGATCAATACCTCGGATGCTTAATAGACGCATAATAATAATGATTTCCATAGGTCCATCTTTTCCATTTATTTACCTAGTTATAAGAGTTCTCTTACCTAACCCCCTCACGTCTAGCCTACCAATAGCATTCAACAACTTTGATGTGATGGTTCTATAAGGAGCAAGCAGTAACTGATTGTTACCCTTCGGATCTGATCAATGCCATAGTATCACGGTGCTATGTTGCTCTTACAAGTTGAGATTTATTGTACTTTCTGAGATATTGTATTCAAGCAGGTAGCTGCTTGTACTTAGCGATCAAACAAAGTTTGCATAGGGTTACAAAATAGATCACATTTCGTAACCCTTTAAGTTCTTTCTATTATGTTGAAACGATTTATACATATCTTTACATCTGCAAGAGAATATGATCACTAGGCTCAAACAATATGAATGATAGTTTTAGTTCCATTTGGAGTATCCGGAAATTTGGCTAGGAATCTTCTGTAATAATACAAATGCAAACCTGTTATATTGAGATCATAAAACTTTGAAGAAAGTATAGCTCGGTTTGACCTAAATCGCTCGTTAATTATGCACGGCATTCATGCCCTATTTCTTGTACAGTTTAATATGTGTACATATCTATAACAAGTTCATGAAGCATGTAAAGGGACAATACTTTTTACTACTGAGTGAAAAGAGGAAATAATTAGTCGGAATATCATCTGATAAGACCATAATTTTCATAGTGTTTGAACTGTGAGACATCCATCTTGTATTCAACATACTTAGATAATAACTAAAGGCAGTGGGACTTAGAGTCCGACGAAAAATGCTTTTAAGTACTTCACATCAAAGTAGGAGACAGGTTATGAGCATCATTACCCATGATATCATTGGGACCTATCACTTGTAAATCAAACTTTACCCGTACCTTCACTTTCGAAGCGTAAACAGATGTCATCTGCAAAGAACTTTTGGGTCCAAAAGATTCCAATATATACAAGCATAAGAATAGGGTTAAAGTATTGACTCTCGTCAGAGCTCCTGTCTTTTGAATCCATGAGAAGACAAGACAAATGCACAAAGTAAACCGAGAAAAGCCCACAAGAGTGAGTCTCAATGAAGTGTAAGTTGTAACCAAAGAACATATAGGTTTTTGAAGGATAGACACGAGTTTCTATCAAAGATCAACCAATATATTGTCGGATTAAGAATTTTCTGATCGAACATATTCAAGTTCAAAAATGAAAATTAAAGTTGAGTGGGATTTGCCAGAATGACATTATAAAATCGAGAACATTTTCATTATCGCGATGTACAGGAGGGTTTTTGCAAGTTTTTTCAGCCAAAAAATATGCCTTAAAAAAAATGTTCATTTTCACTAGTTTGAAAAAAAAATTAAAGTGTTCAATGTTTTGCTAAATGTCAACTAAAACCACGCTTCATGAGTAGAATTAGTCAGATGATGGATTACTATTATCATGTACTCAGACCAAGTTGACTGCAATTCGAGCAAATAGAATACTTGTAAGAGCATTTAAAGAGTTCTCATTTTCTAAGAGTTCTCATGCAGATCGTAATTCTAGAAAAGTGAAACACTTGCTGCTGAACCTTAGTTGTAACATCATGTCAAGCCTTCTAAGATAAGTATATCTCCGAGCAAGAAAGCCTAAGGTCAGGTTCCCTTCTCAACCAAATGGAGCAAGTTTTGTTATGTTGTTATATCCAACTGTCCCCTAGAAAGTGAAGTTCAACATTCATCAAATAGCTTTTGGAAAATTAATTGACCTCAGTACTTGGTCATCACTTCAAATCCATGTATGTTTTGGTCATATGATTATGAATACTTTTAGGCTTTGGGTTTTTTTTGGTAATTTAGGTTTATGAAATATGTGGCAGACCTATAGATTGCTCAATTTATCTACAGTGACTCATTTATCCCCTGGATGTAGACGTCAATTTCATATTTGAACTTTATCTTTGACTAACAAAGACTCATTGCCACTTATATCCCAATATAACGTTAAAAACCCCATTATAGTATAGCCATTTGATACTATTTGAACTCAGTCTGAGATGTTGGGCATATCAGAGTGAAACGATGTAAACGAACGCCTCAGCTTTGATATCTCTAACAAACGTGACCATGTTGCTGGGAAGGCACAAAGTCTTCTCTAGACTCTAGAGAACGCAAAATATCAAAACCGAAACCCAAGCTTTTACAAGTTGAGGCTTTGATTCTCAATCCACCCCTTAAAATACGAGTTTGTTGGGCTATAGGATGCATATGTAGCCACAAAGTTCTCAAACCTGAAGCAGTGATATATATATTTATTTTTTTAGGTGCTGTATCCAAAGCTTGTCGTTGGAGGTTGACAGTAGATGTTAAAGTACACTTCCCTGCTTCTTCAAGCCAGTATAATGCACGAAAAAATTACGCTAGTTTTCCCAAAGGGCACCGAATAGGTGATGTGCCGTAAAACTCGGATGATTTTCGTGAACCTTGGGAAGACCACTGATTGTTAAATTCTCATTCCATCCGAGGCAATGTTCATGGAACTGTTGGACGGTGTTGAATATGTTTCAACGGCATTGTTACATAGTTGGGTCTGTATTGAATATCAGTTATATCCAAAAGTATCCACTAGTGATACATACATTTGTTTCTTTCAATCTTGCATTTCAACTCAGTTTGTACACCCCACCCTTCTCAATACATATTTATCTGTCTAATGACATTTCATCAGAAGACAAAGTTAGAAGATCTCCCTCCAGTTGCACCATTGTCATCATTTCTCTCCTCTCCAAGTAACTCTCACTTCGTCTCTCTAGATCATCTTTGTCTCTGCCGTGTTTTGCATTTCTTTCCTCCATAGCACATGATGGTCTTAACAAACTAGTCGACTTCAAATTTTCAAGGCGGCATAACTCGACATCGTGCCGCAGATGTCTTTTACTTCTCAGTCTTATTCCTTGCCCTGCCACCAAAATTTTCACTTCGGTTATCCCGGATATCCTATTTCCGTACAAGTTCTGGACCAGATATTGCATCAGTATTCCGCGCTGTGCCTCCTGTTAGGAAAATTTGGAAAAATGGCATTATGAGATGTAGTTGCATTATTGTGTCCTTGTATAAGATTCTCAACCGGGTACCGTGGTTCACTGATTACAGAGAACGTATTGCTGTTGCTGGACCAAGGTACCAATACTTGACTCATAAATGTGAGGAAGTTTTCAGTCCGGACAGCAAGACTCTGTTCACCGACTTCAGTTGTAGCCAGTTGGCGTTGGTGATTCTTCGCTTTTGTTTGTTCTTGGACAGATCGAATTTGGCTGTTTCGCCAATGGGACTTGAGCTCCTCTGATGTGACGAACAAATTTAAGGTCATTGCAAAAACATCTCATAAAATGTTCTTGGCTCTCTGACTCAAAAGTTCGTAACAACAGCCTTCTGATTTCAGAAGGCTGTTGGTGCTTGTCCAAAAATGAGATGGAGCTCCTCTGCTCCTCCATCTCTAACCTTCTGAGTAAAAGTGCCTAGTTTCAGCCTGAGCAGCGTTGTCGAAAGTAAAGCCCTCTTTGAATATCGATTCCCGCCATGTGGTCCTCTTCGTTCTCTTTTTCAGCTGCTGCTAGCGAGAACCATGGACAAGGAGATAGAAATGATGGGAAGACCCCATCAAGCTGCTGCTAGTTGCATTCCAAAATGCACTGTGCTCTCACATACTACCTTGGTATAGTAGGCTGCTCTACCAATTGCTGTGGTGGCGTAAAATATATTTGTAACGATATGCCACATATAGCTATACCGATGAAGAGCTGCAGGGGACACACATTGATTGCGTAAGAGAGTGAAGATTCTACCCGTAGAATGTCCTTCCGTTCCCAACATGTAAAATCTTTTCTGACATTTGCATATGTTCCGGAGCGTTAAAGGAGGGACATAAGATCTTATAAAACTATCGCTCATGTAAGTGCAGACAGGAGAAAGGAACTCTGCAGATACGCTGTAGCAATTACCTTACGAACTAGCACTGTCTTCAGAAACTCATCTTACCTGAAGAGTGGGGACGAAGTTGAACAGAATAATTGACAGCACCATGGTTAGCAGCATTGCCATCGACGTAGCATAGACCTGTATAGAAGACGGTATTGGTTGAGGAGGTCGCTCATTTTCACATACTCTTGGTTGTCCATTCAGTGTTATTTCAAAACAAATTATGTAATGTCAACACGACTACAAAGCTCCAGGTCAGTTCAATCACAATCGGTTCCTGTTACACCTATCGTCATATCCTCCATAATATTGCTCCCAGTAAGCTCTAAACGCACTGCGTGCACTACTTGGAACCCAAAAAAATCATTCAACGAGGCTTTACCAGTATCCCCATTCCTGTCAATTTTTATCTCTAGCATAAGTATGACCATTATGATACGCACCTTCACAATGTTGTCGGCGAACTTCATGATCCACGATACCAACAGACCAGTACAGCCCAAATTGAGTACCACCAGCAAAGTCACGAAGTTATAGCCGGAGAAAAGACGAGCAAACCAAACTCCATTACTGAAGCCCTCGTTAAAATCACCTCCAGAAAGCCGCATGCCATTAAAGAGCACTCCAAACCTAAGCATGGAATACATTCAATATTCCATATGTACCGTTTAGATTTCTGATCATTCCTATTTTTCCCTCATTGCAGGAAAGCAATACAGGTCGTTCATAAGATGTACGAGTTTATGGAGAGCAAAATCTGGCAGCACATGCAGTTCTACTTTGCATACAAAATTGTTGAAACACATACGAGTAGAGCTGCACGTTTTGCCAGTGTAAAGAATCATCATTTTTCTTCATCAAATATTCTGTGTAGACACCTGCCATAGCAGAGAGACAAGCAGATAGAATAGCCAATAGGTATCCTTGAATAGGGGCTACCAGAAGTCCTTCACAGCTTTTTGCTCCGCATCCTTTCAACTGAGAACCAAACGTTCAGGAGAGTAAGTTTGTTTTCAAGCCTTCACTTGACGTAGTGATAAAAAGTCTTGATCAACCCTATTTTGCAGCCTACATGAAGAGACACAACACAGACTGTCCTGAAGTAATAGAGTGCGCAATGAAACCCCAAAAAGGCAAATTGCAGCTGATACGCAGTTCCGAAAAAGCAATCCTCTTATCGCATCGTTGATTGAGTTGTAAGTAAGAAGTTTGCCTGACTGGTTGTCGTTCCTAATGTGAGAAGTACAATTGCTATCCACTGCAATTTCGAGAGTTTTCTCTTCAGAAAGGTCCTGCTCATTAAAGTGGCAAACTGGATCAAAAAACCAGGGAGGACAAGCATCGCAAGAAAGAAAAGACAAGGTTGTAGGATATCACAAAATTGAATTATGATCCATTCGAGCGTTGTTAATTGTTTAAGAAAATGAAGTAGACCCTCGAGGATGCTGCATCTGAAAACTCACCTGAAAAGGATGGCAGTTGTAACGATTTTCAAATTCCCCAAAATCTGGTAAGTGGACGTATCGACATAAGTGAGTGTTGCAAACTGAATATTGTTGTGGACAACATAGATGATAGAAGGGATCGGGAACAAACGAATACTCCTCCAGTCTTTGGTGAGTTTTACCGGCCCGCCTCTCCTCATTTCCCTCCATAGCAGAGTTGCACTTACACCGAGCTGCGGACCATGTAGCCAAAATTAAGCTCAATTATAATCTTGGAGACTATACGGACATAGATTACGAATTAAACCTGATCACGAGCCCATAGCTGCCTCCGAATGAGCAGACAAAAACCAGCTCCTCCTAGTTACAACTAAGCATTTTGACAGGTCAATGTAGAAACGGAAGTTGACCAGAATAAAGCTTTGACAAGCTGCTCTACTCACGTAACTAAAGTGGGCATCTCGCAAGCTCTAGTTTTTTTCTTCACATATAAACATTTCTGATATAAAAATCGAAGTCAATGTACCTTGAGTAATTCGGCGAGAAAAGGGACAGTGCCATAATCATATGTGTAACCTCCGTCAGTTTGAGACAGGGTTGTCAAAACTCCCTACAGAGCAAATTCACATGGGGAAACTCAGAATCGTTGACAGAAAGAGCTTAGGAAATGAAGACTACTTGGCCTTGCGGAGAATTGATCGATCTAAAAATGGAAAGCATCGCGCAATGCATAATTGAGCTAGAACTGGAACTGGATTCTAGAATTCAGATTTGCGCTATTTACGCAAGGTTTCCTCACTTTGAGAATGTCGTTCTCAAAATCGCCTGAATTCAAGGCGTGGCCAATCCGAAGAGGATGAGCGACATACCTGGGAGCTGGTGAAAAGGGTAAGAATCGACGCAACGACAATCGCTGGAAGTCGGACGGGGACCTTGGGCGATCTGTTGATCTTCACCTTCTCATCTTTCTCCGCATCGACGTCTCGTTCTTGATCGTGAATGCCACTGCCCCCTCCGCCAGCATTCCTCATACTCCCGCAACGACCCCGGCCCTCCTGTCCCTGTCCCTGTCCCCGCCCCCGCCCCTGCCCCTCGATCAATCCCGATCCTGAAGGAACAGCTGCCCGAAGCTGACGACAATTGTGCAATTCCCGGGCTCGACGTCGCTCTCTTCGTGTGACGGCAGTTCAGCTGTCAACACCAACATCGAGTCCCGACTGCAGCTCCTGCTCCTGCTTTCTCCGTGGGGACGGGACGGGACGGGACGTGCCCACCGTGTTCCTCAACGGAACAGGCTCGACATTCTTCGCCGCTGGGCTGCCACTGGGGCGGGGCGGGGCGGGGCGGCGGCGCCTTTCTCGTTCGTTTTCTTGCCTCAGAGGCTCTTCTTCTGCATTCTCCTCCTCCTCGTGCTCGTCTTTCTTCGTGCCAAGCTCCATGCCATGCCTGCGTGCCTGCCTGTCCACTTTTACCACGACAGCAGCAGCTGGCATCCCATAGCCACCGGCACGGTCTTGTCTATCAATTCAATTCTATTCAGACAAATAAACATATTCTGGCCTTTTAGCTATGCCCCATAGTTAAGATGACACTCACTGCAGTTGTATTTTTTGCCACGTTGAGGACTCGGGTACACAAAGATCAGTGCGCATACTCCATGCTAAATAATATCTCTATGGATTGGTTGTGGGTGGTTGTAAAGGTTTAGAACGCTTGTAATAATTTTTCAAGTGTACCCAGATCTCATTGCTTTTGTAAGATAATTTTATGAGTCGGAATCTTGTCGTTTGATATCAGCGTGATTTCTTATAAATAAGTACTATTCCAAGGTCTTATTTTGCTGCATGACAAGATGCCTATTTGCTATGTAATTCATTACAACGTTATATATGTCTGCTGCCCTGGTTGTGTCGAGTTATGTGTTTCTCTACTTATCACATGATAGACACGTTGTGGATCCTATTGTACATCTAAATGTTGCCTTTCATTATTTTACCAGCGCATTATGTAGGCTTCTAAAGTAAAGCTTTCAGAATAAAGGGTTAGGTGTACTCAACTTGGTGGCTTCACTTTTACAGTAATGTGTAACATCAACAAATATCTTATGAATCTTAAGATTGGTTGTTGGGTCCCATGATGTGTTCCAGGTTTATCTTGATGTTGCATTCGTTGAAGATATATTGAATATCTATATGAATATATATAAGTGAATATTTTAACAGAAACACCAAATACTTTCACTTTTTAATGTGAATGACCCCGAAATGATACACAATCAATCATGTCCGTTGTCATTCCTGCAAAAAAATATTACGGTACAGATTAAAATATTTTAGATATATATATATATATATTATTAGTACAAGATTTGAAGATGACATTTCCACCTATATCTTCTTTCTAAGTTTCTGTTTCACATATGTCTCTGTTTCTCATGCTTGGCATTCTTTGATGGAATTATATCGACTTAAAATTTAGGATATCACTTGTAGAATTGATGTTTATCACTCCTATATGTGCAGGATATTAAACGACTGTTTCCAATATATTTCTGCGGAGAGAATCAAAATTTTGTTTCTCTATTTCTAGAATTATGAACACTAATTAACATGTTGACAGAGAATTTATCAGAGCCTATCAAACTAGGTGGTTAGTTTGTAGATGGTCTCATCTAGGTAGTTTAAAGATATAAAAGTAGTATAGATAATATTTTTTTTCTAGTTCCATGCTATCAAATTGATATTATCAGTTTTGGCTCGATGGGATCTTTTGATGTTTTCTCTATATCATTTTTCTTATTCAGAATGTCTCTAAAGTAACTTTTACGCAAAAACTTAATTTTTCATTTTCAGTGAAAATGATACATTTTTAATGTATGAGGATTATCCATTGCAAACCATACCCAAGTTCCACTCTTATATGACAACACATATTATGTTGTCATATTAAAAGTAGTAAAGTATAGATAAGATTCAAATTCACTTCACTTTGGAAACAGTCAGCATGAATGCTATAGTGATAAGTGATCCAAATACCATAATATAGAACCAAATAGCAATTGGAGTTAAAGTACATATTTAGTTTGTTTTTCAATCATTACATGTACCCAAATCATATTTGGAATTTCGAAACGTAATGAATTGAATTTTCAGACAATGTAAATCAATCGAACGACTAGAGTCAAATTTGACGTCGAGTGACTTTGATGCATGACATAAATTAATTGATCGTAAAATTAGCCTTTAATTTCTTAAATCTATAATTAGATTAACCATGGTAGTTCATTATAAGTCAATTATCTGATATTGATCTCGCTGTACATATATTTAGACGTTCCCTAAGGCAAACCCCTGTATTTTTATTTTTATTTAGTGTTGATGTGCTCGGAGAAATCAAAATCCGTATTCACAGTATGGATAATATCTGGACTGAAAGAATTGATTAAAAATTAAAATTTGCTTGCTTCCTTGATCGTCACTCTTCCCCATGATTCATTTACTTCTAAATTTTACTTAAGTTGCACTAATGGAGCTATATAATTCACAATTTTTTTGCCTAGGTTTGTTCGAAAATTTATATTGAATACGTCTTCCATATGTGTGGACTCTTTTATAAAATGATTGAGGTTGTGAATTAGGTATCTAATTTCCAGATGTCTTTGGAGAGATTCATGGTAAATGTTATTTGACTTTTTCATCGACAGAGGTAAATGAGTTGAACGGAGAGACAAAACTTAACTTCAAGGCAACAACACAAAGTAACCGTTCGTAATAACATAGAAAGAACTCACCATAACAATGCATTATGTGTGCAAACACATAATGCATTGTTTTTTATCCTAACAATCATCTATGTTCATCCAATAGTCATTCGGTATTCGTGCACGTGCTCAAGGTTGGCATTTTTTTTGGTCAATCGAGCAGTAGTATCTCATCCTCATGCAAGGAAAACCTTGATTTACTATGTTCCGAGAAAATCATCCCTCGAACATAATATAGCTCTCTTGTGTCGGAAGTAGATTCTATGTACATTATTAATCTATATTAATCTATCGTTTTCATCACGCCCGTCCACCACCACTTAGTAAAAGAATCTGAAATGTTTTCGGAGCATATTATAGTTAAAGCCTGGTATTTTATCTTGCGAGCAAAGGAAACTATCAACTAACCGAATCGAGTTCGGTATATGAGCTGATTTTGGCATGATTGTAGCGGAACTTATAGTATTCGATGGAATAAAGATACACTCTAACGTAATCGAAAGTAATAAATTCGAAAGTAAACTTTAGCGCACCATCGAACATAAGTTAGTGTATAGCTAAGAGATGACCTTTACCGCCCCTCTATCCTGCCATTATTAATCTAGAAGAGCCCAGTCAGGATCAATAATGACTTGTTTAATTGGATTATCTTCTTTGGGTGGAATTTATCTCTTAAATCCAGTCGTGCCAGCTGGCTCAATAAGACCAGAGCATAGGAAGAATCAAATGAAAGATGAGTCATATAACACATTCAGTAGTTTAACATTGAAGTTGGGTATGTGTATTCCATCTGATGTTACCAAAATTTGCAGATCATGATAGTTATTCGTCTTTCACCCACCATAATCATGACCAACCCTTCACAATTTAACATGAGAGTCTATTCAAAGTGTATCAAATGTTGTAAATAAATTTTCACTACTATTTTAACATATGCACGTTGTTACAAAATGATTTTTTTTTTCAAGTTTTTAAAATTTTCTTTGCATGTTTTTAACTACATGATATGAACATAACATAAAAATTTTCTTTTAATCATGTATGACGTTGATGTCCGCTTTCAATCTTGCAAGGTTATTAATTCATTTGAATGGTTTGGAATGTATTCAAACTCTGTTGTTACATGTTGTCCAACGTTTTTGTACGTTTTCAAGTCTCAACTATTAATACTGAAAGTGGTTGCTCAACATGCTTATATCAAATAACGAGACATCATGTACTTGCATTGTCTGAAGGTTCTGGAAAATTTATCGTACATTCTATCTTCCTCGTGAGCTATTTTCCTCATATTTCATATGAATCTTAGAAAATCATTGAAAGTTTTAGAACATATTCTGAGATTTTGTTTCTTTTATTTGTGAGTAAAATATAATATTAGTCGTCAAAAATACATCATGAATTTTTCATGTGCATGAAATTACAATTCAAAAAATTCCCTGTTTTGTTCCTTCCATTTTAGAATGTCGTGTTCTTTTTATTTCTCAAAGTACAAGATTTATCCATTTTAAAGCATGGGATCTGAAGTGAAGTAGTTCCATTTTTATGCAAATGATGTTAGAAACGTGAGTAATGACGGCAAGTTTGAATCCATGAGAGGTTTAAAGCTTGATGAAGAATCCCAATAAACACTAATGGGACAAGATACGATTTCATATGCACTATATTTGGGAATGAAATGCAATCCCTATCATGGATTTGTCGTTTTATCTATAGGTCTTAGTTAATACTTGACGAGAATGCCTTTTTGGTTCCCTTGTCTTATCAATATGCTTAATTATTTCATATGCGTCAATCTAGTTATACGAGCACCAAAGTTGTTCATTTTCAAACTTATCCAAATTAGCACACAAACTCTTCACTTGTCATTGTTGTCAACCCTTTCAATGAGTTGTGTAATTAGTTACGACTTTAGTCCATCTAATTGAGTGCGATGAAAGTTTTGGCATTTCCATGATGTATATTAGCCCAGAGTTAGTTGTTGGTCCTCGTATGCTCTAAATCTTCAGTTCTCGTATTTTATGAGATAGGATAAATTTTCAGTTCTCGTATTTTATGTAATAGAATAAATCTTCAGTCCTCGTATTTTATGTGTATCATCACGAGACTCACATGTAAAATTGCAGCTGAAAAGAACCAAACGATGTTTGAAACACAAAGTGGACCTTAGTAGTTCGATTAGAAAAGATATGAAGAAACTCATGAAGCAAAGTGCACAGCAAAACGTTACATGTGAGAATGATGTTCTTTGGCCACGTCTCTTCTTCTTGGGGCTCCTTTGGGTTCGAGTCCAATAGTGAGGTACAATCAAATGGTTGAATCTTCAGAAGCGGTGACGAGGTGAGACCCAAGGCATAAACCAGCGTACAATACAAGGCGCACTACGGTGGCCTGAAACGCACGCGCTTGCAAAATTGGAAAAAGCTTGCGAAATCAAGCACTTGATGATGCTCCGAAAGTGCCACGCTATGAGTCGCACGCTCGTAGCCGCCTCGTCCTCAGCCTTTCAGGCAATCATTCAATCAAAAAATCGATCAATCACTCAATCACTCACTCATTCACTCCGTAGATCTTCCAATCTTCTCCGGCAGCAACAAAAGCAAAAGAAGAGATGCGAGGGAACAAATCTCTTAAGTGCTTCAGTGGAGGCCAGGGGAGGGGAGGGGAGGGGAGACGAGGGGAAGGGAAGGGAAGGGAAGGGAAGGTGATGCGCATGGACAGGGCAAGCAAATAGATTCGGCAGCCAGCAGAGGAGGAGGAGGAGGAGAAAGAGCTTTTGCTCGCTCGCTGAGGCGTGCTGTGCTGACTTGCGGGGCATGGAGAAGACTGTACAGAGCGTTTGACACTGTTGGGCTGAAAGATTCCGCTGCCGAGAGAAAGAGAAAGAGAAAGAGAGAGAGATTTGGAAGGGGGAGTTGAAGAGGAGGGGAGAATGGCGGAAGTGGAATGGAGGTAATGGCAGACGGGGGAGAGAGAAGGGGCCCCACTTCACAGCAGGAGGAGGAGAGGAGGTGGTGGTGGTGGAGGAGGAGGAGGAGCGTGCTAGTGACGAGGTAGCAAAGAAGGCAGAGAGAGAGAGAGAGCGAGCGAGCGTCGCGCGAGGAGGAGACCCGAGAGAGCACATCGGTTAGATCCATGCTCGGCTGATCTCGGTTTCCTCCTTTTTCGACAGCGTTAGCGTTATGGTGAGAGTCTCCTGTGTACACTAGAAAGAGCAGATCCAGATTTAGCCGCCTTTGAGTGTGCGGGCTCCAATTTGATTTGAACGAGTTGAGATGATGCAATGACGATGTGCGGCCGAGAATATGAGTTTTTTGAGGACTTGTGCATGTCGAAGCTCGTGAAACACGTCGAAGATATGTAATGGTCGAATGTTTTATAATCTGGAGAAAAGTTTCCGCCAAGAGTCCGATCGAGCACTATGCGCATGAACCTTGCATTGAGAGGCAAATTGCAGAGATCGCTTGCAATCTTCAGTCAATTTTGGAAATTCGAAGCCTCTAGAGGAATAATTGCAAGCTGTGCTGTCCAGTCGCTTTAGTTTTAACGCCGTTGGGAGATCAGATCAAGTATGGTGAGCACCGATTAAGAAGCATTCTTCATTTTCTGTACAAATTCAATGCCGGATTTCAACCCGAAAGTGACTACGAACCTCGGATTGGCACGCGCAAAGTCGATAGAAGTGTTCGCAGTAAGCACTTGAGGGGGTGGTTTCTAGTGTGAACACAATCCGACCTTATGTGGTTAAATTACTGAAAATTGTTCTGAATGTAGTAAGTTTTCAGTAGCTGGGTAGTCATATTTTCATCCTGGTCACCTCCACATGAGGTTAGCTTCACAACATGTCATCACATTGTACCTTAGTATGCGTAGATCGGTCCGTGTGCCGCTTCTTTTCTCGACACTTTTGATCATTACATCTCCTCTGTCTTCGAGTTTCTCTCCTGCATATCTTCGATGACTCCTGGATTGTGTATCATTAATGAAATCAAGGCTTGGAATTCTGCTGTGTAAACCTGTCTGGGACATTTTTCTCGCCATATTTCCTTGTCAATGTAGACTTTCAACACGCATGGATTTCAATGTGAATACCTTCCATCATGAATGTTGGACGTACTTCTACATTCCTTCACAATTGGCCTGCTGGTCATGCATGGATATGAGTGTCCGTAACTCGTGAAGAACTCACCGTTGGAAGTCATTGGTGAAAGGTGATAGAAATTTGAGTCAGAGCTTTCGCTTCTTTGAGGTTTTCCTTCGCACATTAGCCTGATCGGCTGTCTGTTTTGTGGAACAGGGGAAGGAGACTGTCCCGCTTCCTGAACGGGAAAAGGATAAGGAAGGACCGAAGCATGTCCTGGTCACGGTATGTTCGGATTGATTAACGTGACAATTTAAGTGACAGTGCGTATGCTTGCAATTCAGTACATATTAATAAGTTGATCTTAGCCAGTTCCCAACATACGAAAACTGGCGCTTTATGTCTTCTAAGGACAGAGCTTGAAGTTAATTCATTTATAACTATTATCCAATCACAGTCCAAGTGAAGATGGTTTCTCACATTTAATCTTATACCTGGTAAATGGGATAATTAGTTTCACTGTCGTGTTAGGTGCATCACACCAGCTCATGTCGTGTGGTTCTTAGCCGAGCTGTAGATTTTAAGAAGTCGCCCAACTTGGTGACTAGATTCATTAAAATGTCAGTTGCATTATATGTACCAGCAAAGAATTTCATACTCTGGAATTTGATTACCGAGGCAAGTTGTTTGCTACTTTCAAAGTACTGATCTTCCGTGTTTGCTGTACTAGGGAGGAGCAGGTTATATTGGATCACATGCGGCACTTCGTCTTTTGGAAGAGGGTCTGAATGTCACAGTCTTGGTAACTTGTTTTACTCAATACGCAGTCTCTGTGCTTAATCATTACTCAGCGATTGATTCTTTTCTACGTCTAGCTCTGTATCTGAATCACAAAGCAGCTTTTTGGCATGATTTTGGTTATATGTTGCTTCGGAAGCAGTGTTGGAGAAGACGAAAAAGTAATACTTCTCCAGTATGAAAGTTATTTTACTACAGCACGAAAGGGACCTGATTATATGAAATCTTTACTCAATCATCTGTATACATAGGATGATCTATCAAGAGGCAACCTAGGCGCCATCAAAGTACTGGAAGAATTGGCAAGGCCCGGCCAGTTCCAGTTCATTAAGGCAGATTTAACTGATCTGGAAGAAGTATCCTCACAACTTTGTATAAGGAGTTCCACCTGTCTAGTTAGAGGACACCATACTTTACCCCGTACGTCTTGTATGTATTCGTTCTAACTTGGATGCCAAAAATAGGCGTTCACAGTATTTATGGTAAGTATTGAATTTCTTTGAGAATCACCACTTTAGCTAGTTTTTGGCCAAATCTGTAAGTTCATACATTTCGTTTGAAGGTTGATAGCTCGAGTTCATATGAGAAACCCTGGTTATGTAGTTGACACTCTACAGTGGGTGTGCTTATATATGAGTTTTCCTTGAAATTATATTTGAGCGTTTTAATGTTTCCTTAACAATGTAATAAGCTTCATGAGGTGTTTGCCATGAACGACTTCGACGTGGTTATGCACTTTGCTGCACTGACATATGTTGGAGAAAGCATGACAAAGCCACTGTTGTAAGTATGTCGTCTTTTGGATATACTTTATTTACAACAGCATATGCATGTAGATTGTTAATAGCTAGTCAGATATGAGGTGACCAGCTCTTCTGCATCAATTTTTCTTATAAGTGCAGTCAAACAGGTGTCTTCATACACATACCCTCTGCATTTTTGGCCTACTAACTTGTAATCATCTGTTTGTATGCGAAGATAATGAAAATTTGTGTTACTTTGGTAGGTACTATCAAATAAACACAGGGAATATTGTGAATGTTCTTGATGCAATGCGCGTCCACAACGTGACCAAGTTTATCTACAGCAGCACGTGTGCAACATATGGTGATCCGAAACAAATGCCTGTCAACGAGGAGACACCTCAGGTATGGAACAGCTCAATTTTTTCTTGATATATTGTTCAGTTATGCACTATACTCGTTATTATTTTGCTCTGTAACTTAAGTGCCATAGACAGAGAGGTGTAGACTTCCTGCAAGAATTTAATTCTGAGTAGCAGAATCATAAAAAGATGTGGGCTCTACTTTAGGTTCCGATAAATCCTTATGGACTATCCAAGAAAATGGCTGAGGAGGTTATCAAGGATTACGCAAATTCTAACAAGCAATTTTCTGCTGCAATTTTGAGGTAAGAATGTGTATGTGGACTATCAGCCCGTAAGATGAGCGACAAAGTAAAATTATGATTTAGTGCAGACGAATTTTACCTCAGCGTAACCACAGAGCTAGGTAGCCTTTCATACTTTCATACTACTCTTAGGTGGGCTATGAGCTGTAACACTAAGATTAGACTATAGATAGAACTCGCAACACTTGGTCTCAATCCAAGTGATGGAAGTGCTATCAACTCAAATTTCAGATAGAACGATAATCCTCCCTTCCTTTCTCAATTATCCAGGATCCAAAGGTGTTGTTAGTAATTAATTTTTGGCAAGATGTAATCTATCAATACACAGATTTCATGGCTCAAACTAAAGACTGAGGTTGTAACTGAAAAACCTAAGCTTAAGCTGGCTGATAACTGGCTAGCCCTTCTATAGTAAAAGTTAGTAACTAACTTTTACGGTTTACATTTGCTTTTTTATTACTAAATATTCCAAGATCAACAAATACATCACTCTGATTTGATGGAATTGTAGTTCCACTCCTATTATGCACTTTGTGTGTTTCTTTTGTGGAGTGCTTAAGTAAGCACATCAACTTTCATATCCTCCTTTGGACAATGCACTAATTTGATTAATATTTTCTCTTCTCATTCTGCTCAACAAAGCTTGTATATAATGAATTATCTTTAGACAGATGATGATGAGCATGGTCTTTTGTGAGTGGAATAGTTTCACTGTTATCACACTAGAACTATCGCACTATAATGGACTTATATCGTTTAGTTATCACATGGATATAGTTGGAGCTTGTTGAGTACATCTAAGCTCATGCAACATCATCATGGACCGTAGCAGCTCTGGAGTAGCTAATGAATCATCTAAATGTTCTTAATTTGATTTTTGTTAATATATTTCTTTATTCGGAAAAACATATTCTGGAACTGATTTATATGGAATAACTATATGCTCTGATCTCCAAAATATCAAAATTCAACATATGTGCACACATTAAACTTTAACCCAACCAATCAAACATATGAGTGCAGTAAAACTTCAAGCATTCAGGACATCAAAACTGGAACTGCATAAGATAACATTAGCCTGGCTTTCATTAGCTTCATTCTGACACTGACAACTATTTTTATCTATACGAGAGAAAGTGAAGCAGTGTGGGATCAATATAAGACGTTTGAATGCATAATACTGTGTTTCTTCCCGAAAACGTCGATGCAGATACTTCAATGTTGTGGGAGCAGATCCCAGTTGCCGTCTTGGGGAGGCACCTTCACCCGCATTGAAGATGTATTCCCGACTGACCACAGCTTGTGTGGATGCTACGTTGGGGCGCCTTCCTTGCATAAAGGTCAGATGTTGGGCTCCATGATTGCCATCAAGCACATGCTTCCTGTCTTTCAGTCTATGTGATATGTGAAGTGCTTAACTAAAGTTTCACAAGCTTCTGTGGATGAAGTGCTGTGAAAGTGTACTATTCACTGATACATTCAGTAGACGTGTGTGTTTGTGAACCACAGATATTTGGCACGAACCATCCTACTGAGGATGGAACATGTGTTAGAGATTATATTCATGTCTTGGATCTCGTCAATGCACATGTAGCCGCAATGAATCATTTGACTGATGGTGAAGTTCAGATCTTTAATGTGGGGACAGGTAGAGGTGAGTAAATTTTTATTACCAAAATTTATCTTGCTGGACCTTCAGTTTTCGCTCTTCCTTTGTGACGCCAGTTGAGAAAGTTCTAGGACATTGATTTATAATTAAAGTCTCACTACAATTTTTTTCATAAAATCTGTTCATAACTCTGCAATGCTTAGTAATTTTTCGTGCTTGTAGTTCTTGTTTTGTACTTGTACTTAGTCTCCGTTCCTCTCCTTTCTTCTCATCTGGTCTTCCATCCTTACAATTCCGATTCAAAGTTACACTTTGACTTTCCTGGAAGTCTTATTCGGGTTATTTTTGAAAAGACAATTCCCACTCATGTATATATTCCTTGAAATTGTTACCGTTGAAATTTTTGTTAAACTGTTCTCATCGGTATATGCCTGCCTGATGAAGTTACCGTGCTGGCTTACGGTTTAAAGTGGAGCTTTGTGTCTCAACTGTTGGAAAATCATCCTGTCACACTCAAGAACAAATGTTTGCTGACGTTAGTTACCAGCCATAACTTCGGGGTGTGCATTTTTCTGTAGTCACGTCTTCCTTGTTTTAGTGGTTGTTTTAGTAAATAGATCTCTAAAGTGTTCAATGTACTGAACAATACCCTTACTGAAATTTAGATATGTCTGCACAGGGTTAAGAGACTACCACCGTAAAAAAGAAATACTTGTCAAGAATTGTATCCATGTATAGATGAGGACGTGATGTCGGAGGATAGCAAAGTTTTAATGTTCGGTAATTATATCATTCAGGACATTCTGTACGCGACTTCATTGCCGCATGGAGAAAGGTGACAGGCAAATCTATCAATGTGAGTATGCAGTTTTTGGGAATCTCTAGCTCGTGCATCTTATCAAGTTCCTCTTTTCCTGTAACTTGAAAGTTTCCGAAAAGAGGATTATGAACATCACTGATTTGCCCGCTGAAGTAGTAATCTTAGCACTACAAGATGCAGAGCACTTCTTTCGTCTAGATTCTTGTGGGTACTAAGAACTGGTTCCACGATTGATTATCTTCGACATTTGCAGGTTGAAGAGATCCCGGAGATGCGAGCAGGTGATACACCAAAGGTGTATTGTGACCCATCTAAACTGGAGAATGAACTTGGTTGGAAACCAGAGTACGCTGATTTGGAATCCGCTTTGGCAACTGCTTGGAGTTGGCACCAGGCCAACCCCGACGGGTATTCCTCTTCCTCTTGATCAATCTTCGTGTAGATAGACAGGTCTTGATGCTTATTCCTGTAATCCCTAGATGAGCAGAGGTTCTTAGCATAGCAACACCTCCATCATTGAATTTTTAAGACTTTACAGGAGATCACACACAAAGTTCCCAGCAAAAGGTGAACATCTTTGCTAGCTTTGTTTAGTTATGTGTCAAGCTCATCCGAGCAAGAGTTGTACTCATTCTTTCAACACAATCATTCATTCTTTAGAGAGCCATTAGTATTGGGCTCCAAAGTTGGAAATAAATTAAGGTACCTAGCCTCGCATACACGAAGTGGTAGTTGGTCCCTAGTGAGCTAAGGAACGTGTATGAACTACAATCTAGTCTGTACCGAGAAGTAAATTTGTCTGGAATTAGTGCTGTCAGTATGGTCCTCAGACTATATTGATAGTCAAAATTGATGGCGGGAGTTTGATACCTGTTGGAGCATGTCATGAGTAGCAATTTTGGACTGACGAGCGTCTGGTGGACAAGCTTTTGCCCTCTTGTGAGGGAGAAGCTATGGACTTTTTAGCTCGTTTGCCCGGCGTTCTGGAACATCGAGTTTCACTGAAAATCCCCAATGTAGTAGCTGCTGGAAACCTCGGTTTTAAAAGACTTGCACGTACCTTGCCATACATAGGTCACAGTGTACAATACATACTGAAATTGTGCACTTTGTTGGTACGCAATGTCTTTTTGCAAAACCAGTGTGAAAAAATGAAAACGTTGAACCTTTGTTTCCAGTAGCTTCTTTTCTGTAACTGATGTACTTCGAAACATCCTAAATATTGTACCAAGCCGATCTCAAGTCTGACAGCTAGATTCTCGTCATATGAACTTGAATCCCCGAATAACATTTGGAACCTGTGACTTAATCGAATATGCATAATCGAATATGAATCGAGCACTGTATCTGAGATTGCCCTTAGCCTTCATTCTAAATGTGAAACTGCAAACAAATCTGTATTCATCATTTCGTGTTGGACTGAAATGTGGCATTTTAACGGAAAGTGATCAATCTTCACTACTCACAATCAGAGATCGACTCTATGGTGACGAGACACTACTCATCAATATGGTGCAAGCTTTAAGTTCGAAGCTCTAACTTTTAAGAACAGTTGATTGAGTTCACTAAGCACGTGCCCCGTAGTTACCACGTCAGCTATATCAATTGTAGGTTCAGAAGCCGGCTTTTGGTGCCAACAGTTTTGTTCTGGAACCACATGCCCGCACAAGAAGCGCAATTACGTCGAAGTAAGTCATGATTGTTTTCAGGATAAAACAGTGTAAAGATTCAACCGTTTGTGCTACCATTACAGTCCAGCTTGCGATGTACATCTAGAACCCAGTTAAACAATCTCTAAATGTTTCGGGCTTTTAAGGTGAATTAAATGTCAGCACCTCCTTCTGCCATCACATTTCCCTGCATCAACATCTCAGTTCATTGCAGCCTATTATCTTTATTGTTCGACCTTTTTCTCCATCTCTCCATCGTGTATCTCCAACCTTGTTACAGATTGTTGTATACACCCAACAACTATTACTGTTTTCATTACTTCACTGCTTCATGAAAATTGATGAGTTGTCTAAGTACTGAGTGCTTCTTTCTTTCTTACTTCTGGTACACTCCATATCCATATTTTCATGGAAATTGATAACCTGCGGAAGGACTGAGAGCTATTTTTTTGAAATGCAAGCTGGAAATAATGAGTTCGGTACCATTTAATGAGCAATAGGGGCCAACCTGGTGGAGAAAACTATGGGAAGAACCAACATAGACAAAAAAATGCACAATAAATAACAGGATAACAAGGGGATGAATGTCAATATTATCGTGATCAGATATATATTTTACAACATATCCTCCATTCTACGCGACCTTGGGGCTATTCGAGCAACCGAGTACCTTTGAGAATACTGAAAGTAAGCACAATTTGGTTTCAGGTGACGCGATATATCACACAATCACTTCTCTGCAAGGGGGTAATTTTCATCCAAGTCAGGTTTATTTATCATTTCTATACCCACTGAATGTGCGAGCTTTATCTGTATTATCAAGATCAAAAGGAGACGATCCTAACATGACTTTGCTTTTTTATATAGTGCTGAATGGTGCTCTTTGTAGAGCAATAGAAACACGTGTAACATAAGCTATACCACACTGTACAGAAAGTAATACAGCATGTCACATAGTATAGTAAATTCTCATACACTGATTCAAAAACAAGTGGAAGCGATCATGCATAATTTTATATTGCATACAATTCCAAATATAAATTGAAAAAACCTCTCTATATATTCTTATGAACTTTCATTGTAACTTTCATTCATCGAGGAATATAAATAATCATCCCCTCAAAATTTTGTCACGAGTTGGCGATTAGTACTTACAAGATTAGCAATCGTAGCTTGGTCCTCTGAAAGCAAGTACACATATTCGTTCAATCTATTCGACTGTAATGCATATCTACCCTCTCTCAATGTGAAGCATAGAACCTCACGTGCTATAGAAGACGCTTAGAAATCAATTTCACATGGGTTTCATTCCAAATGTTAACGTGTGATCATGCATTCTGAAAAAGAAAAAAGAAAAAAAGAAATACTTACACCATAATATGAGGTTTTGAGAAGAATAGTTTTAAGGGACTAAGAAAAACCACACAGCATTTAATATCTATATAAATACTACGATTATCTATCTCGGATCTGAATATAGTAAGATGTAGAAAGTAATGATCACCTTGTTTCACGAAATTCTTTATGTGCACAGTCTTAAATTTTGGAAATGTATCTATATTTCATTATGGTGTTACTAGAAATGACGAGAACACGTGTCCCTAAATTTTGGTATAGGATAGAATACACATTATTATTATTATAAACTGAAATAGTAAGAATGTGAATGGAATGGAATGGTCAGATCAGACGAAGTAAATTTTGTAAACGTTCGTTTTGAAGAGATGATATAATTCTAGAAAATGTTTTGGTGGAGGAAAACGATTATGATAGAAATTTATTTGAATAATAGGGTTGGTGATTATGATTACATTATAATATGTATATTTAACAAAAAAAAAACTACACACGCTGGAACTTGTTTCCTTGGTAATGTAGTGATGACAGAGTTATCTTCCTTGTGAAGATCCACAGCTAAAGAGTAACAAAATGATCAACAGATCACCATTTGAGTGGCAAAAACTATTAAAGAGTGGGTAAGTGATATCTGAAAAGATTTTCATGTACAAGTCTACGTATTAACGGCTGAGAATTTTTTTAATACATAGTTTTAATACTTATTTCAATCAATTTGATTGGTGATTCAAATTTAATGTATATGAGATTTACAATATCATCATAAATGTTTGTGATGATATCAAATACAAGTTAGAAATAGTTTTATAACATATAGAATCTATTGTATCGATGTATGTGAAAGGTCTCTATAACCTCTTTACCTGACAGAGGATTTAATGAGACCTGTCTTATGTATCTTGAATGACATTACAATTCATGATAAAAGATTAGTTTACATTTTCCAATGTTGAAGTGTTCAAGTGGAAAAGGTTTTTATGGTAGGTGATGTAATCTTTGCAAACCTAACCTATGAATAGAGCATATGATCATCTTCCTGCGGTATCCAACTTTGAGAGGTGTGGATAAACCTCGGACTCGGAGGTGACATGGGTTCTGATTTGTATGTCGATCGATTTGTAGATCGATGAACATGGAGATGCAACAAATTCAACATCACTCCTCATGGCGAATGGCGTCACAACACGTCTCTCGAGTCTGGCCTATCTGATCAGCCCGAGCAAATGACTCACTCACAGCTTGAGGCCAATTTTATGAAGTAAACCTCGTGCCCAAATCACAGCGATCAGACGCAACGTGCCACTCAACTGGGCTTGTACTGTAAAGAAGAGTCCCCGGTCGAAGTCAGAACAACCAACACACTGAACATTCTATAAAATGTATAAAACGTGGACAGGAATGCTGCAAGAATTCCAAGCCAGGGAAGGAATCAAAGCCACATTCCATCAGTAGCTACAATTACACAGACATCCGATATGAGCTCAATAGCCAAAATTTGAAGAACCTGGCTTTTTGTTCGGATTTTAATTTTTCTGCAATAGCTTGGAAGGTCCGGGGAGAGAAGCATAAATGAGAGAGGAATTTCGGTCGCAAGGCAGTTAAAGTCCCCTGAAGTCCTACCTCACAAGAAAACTGTCAAAGACTCGATCTGACAGTTGTGACGCTACAAGTGAAGTGAAGTTGAACTCGGTTTATGTTCGAGAAAGATCTTTTCGTCCGTGACCGTAGAAGCAAAACTACCGAACCCGGAATTGGCAAAAAGTCGGCGGAGTGGATATTGCATCTCAAGGATTGCAGAATATAAAAAGGGTCCTGGTTCCTCTGCATGTCCAGATCATGTCTATGTTCTGAATCGTGATTCTCGAATCCCATGTGGATGAATCTGGTGGGTTCCATTTCCAAGTTTGTTCAGCTTGTCCTCCAAGTTTTCACTTGCTGGCACAGATGACAAGGACGAGGAAATCCGATCAGAGCCAAGTGTGCTGGACATCTCCACGACAATCTGGGAATGCATCATAGCGGGACACTAGCGAATTCGAGAAGCCGAGAATTGCCCCCTACGTTAGGAAAATGATCACATTCGGTCTTGAGACTCGTCTATGCAAAAACGAGTGTTTCCTGTGTTTCCGAGAGAATATACACCGGAATATACGCTTCGTATGTGACATACGAAGCGTATATTCTCCTCGTTAGACATACCGTATGTCTAACGAGGAGAATAAGCCCTCAGTTATTCATTTCAATTTACTCCATATTTCTGTATTTTAAACACACAGAATGGAGAAAAAGGGATCAGCACATCATTGAGATTCACCAGATTTTTACCGGGCGATGGTGTTGTGTAGTAGTTTCGAGATTTAGAATTTGTAGAATGAGAATCAGTTTTTTTGAGTACAAAAGTTTTTTGCATGAGTCGATTTATCCTTATTATGCAAATTTTGTGATAGAAATTGCCTCCGGAAGTTTTTTCAGCACTAGTTTAGAAAAATTTGTGCTTCATTAGTAAAAGATGCTCATGTGCATGACCAACATAGCATTATAGACAATGTAAAATGTTCTACATTTTGCATTATCAAATAAAGATGAAGGACGAACTAAGAGCACAAAGCTGAGAGATTGATAAAGTGAGCATTGTTGGATTGGATAGAGAAGGATATATCAAGCATGATTTTTCCTAAAGAGATGTTCAGAACACTTGGTTTTGATTTTCTTTAGGAAAAAAATTTTGAAATTTTTTATTTTTATTTTTTATTTTATTTTGTTTTTGATTGAGAAAGAATTAGTTATATATAGGCTGTATATATATATATTTATATTTACTATATACAAGAATAATCAAATTTACATCATAAACTAATATAGAATATAGAATAAAATCATTGTGACAGCATGGGAAACTATGACTGAGAATGCCCTAGATAAATGTCTAACATAAAACTAAGACGAGAAATTGGATAATATGTTTACCAATAACATGTCATATGTCCACGGAACGACTAAGATTCAAGGAACAAAACTTGATGAGCTGAATTAGTCTCTTTACATGCGACCTTAGTA